CGTGGACGTATTGGAACATTAACCCAATCGAGACCGGTTTATCCCAGTTCATGTAGATATACCAGAACGTATGATTATTTCCCCAGGGTGGTGGGCGTGTGGTGATGGTGGTGGGCGTGAGAGAGTTATTGTTGGGTCGATAGAGAGAGGCTTGGTAGGCACCCACGACGAGCCCCGGGACAGAATCGAGGTGCACCGTGCAGGTATGGACGGCATTTTGGTGCTGGGTGATTCTCCCACGGTCCATGTGTGGTCCAGCACATACATGATGATGATAATAATAATAATAATAATAATAATAATAATAATAATAATAATAATAATAATAATAATAATAATAATAATGGTTGCCCCTCTTGTAACGAGGATGGCCGGCCCAAGGGCCACTTCGGCGTGAATTTGTTTAAGGTGTAGAAGCTGTCACCAACACAACAACCACACCCTAAGTTAACGAGTTGCATGACCCAGTGTCAAGGAATAGTCCGAGAAGACCGGACAACTCGCCAACTGCACCGGCTAACCATACATACATACACACACACACACACACACACACATATACATACATACATACATACATACATACATACATACATACATACATACATACATATTATATATGCATACATACCTGTATATACAGTATACTGTATACATACATACATACATACATTCATACATACATACATACATACATACACTGTATACTTACATACATGCATACACTGTATACATACATACATACATACACTGTATACATACATACATACACTGTATACATACACTGTATACATACATACATACATACGTACGTACATAATTGTTCCTGGTACCCGGGGTAGCCTACCCCTCCTCCCATAAGACACAGGACTGAGCGTCGTATGCCATCACTACTCAACAGGGAGACTGGCTTTGTAACATGTCCCTTGGTCCCTCTTAACGTACTCTGGCGCACTCAGATCTTTATTGTGTCATTTCATCAGGTTTTTACATAATTCTAATGATTTAGTCTGTGTGTGTAACGTTCGTCCAGATTATATGAAGGTCTTGGTGACGCTGTTATCTGGTTAAACCCTTGGCTGAGATTACATAACCCTTTGAGTACTGAAGGGGTTAACTCGTCTTATTTACAGTTCTAGGTTATCGTATTCTAGGATTGAAGTCATCGTATTCAAGGGATTAAACCATCAGGTTAAGTTATCTTTGAAAGGGTCAACGTTGACTGCTCGCCTACAGTACTTTCAGTCGATTTTTTTTCGTGTGTGTTGTGTATTTTATTCTGTAAGTTCGTGTTTTGATTTGTTACGAGTTTAAACATCTGTGTTACGTCATGCAGGGTGTGGATGTGTGCATCTACTTCTTATGGACGCTAGGTATTATTATTTTGGTTATTTTATTATTATTATTTGTATTATTATTATTATTATTATTATTATTATTATTGTTATTATTATTATTATTATTATTATTATTATTTTTATTATATTTCACTAAAGATGCATAAATACCAGTCCAGGCACACATTTGGTTAAATTGTATGGGCAAAATTATTTCCTACTGTATAAGTTTCTTGACATTTTTTTTCTCTCTTGTTCTATCTTCTCCGTCTATATATCTCGCCCGGTACGATCTGTCGCGTCAGGTAATCGTGAGGAAGGGATCGTTAGAAGGGGAGGAAACTTGGCCCATCTCCTGCCGGGTACGAGAGATGTTTTCCCGGGCGTCTGCTGAGGTCGTGACTGTCCGCCTAGCCTCGTGTGTTTCCTGGACGCCAGACTCTCGTGGGAATAACGTGAGAAAAAAACCACGCTTATTTTATGCCATATCTGAAGAAAATCACCATATAAAGGCTAGCAGGTAGGCAGGAATTTTATGCGAGGAGGAAAACAGGCAGGTTAGTAAGCAGGGAAGCACGAAGAGATGAATACAAACACAGGAGACTGACAAAGGAACTCCTGACCCATAAAATGTAAACACGAGAATCCCCGACGAAGAAAACCTGGCCCAGTGAGTCCGACGTCTTCCTCCCTCAGGACGGGGCCCCGTTGCGTGTGTTGGTGTTACCAGCCCCAGTGGTGGTGACCGTGGAAAATATCTTAGAACGTGTTTTACGCTTTTATTTCACACGTGGAGAAAAGGAAGGAAAGGGGTGAGAGATACTGTGAGAGTTTGTTTTGTGTAACGTGGGGATTTAGAGAACTGTGATTCGTATCTACCTGTTCTTCTACTTGTATCTACTTGTACCTCCCGTACTTATATCTACGTGTACCTGTATTTATATCTACCTGTACTTGTATCTACCTGCACTTGTACTTATATCTACCTGTACCTGCACTTATATCTTTCTGTACCTGTAAAAGTCGTAATACCTCAAGACGTTTTTTTTATATCTGTGATTCAGACTATTTCACTGTATTCTGGTCAATGAATCGAGCTTCCAGAAATCATCTCCGCGTCACACCCAGATAACGAAAGTCTTCAGAAATTCCTGGACGTGAGGATGGTGGAGTGGAAACGACTCAGGGACCAGGTGACCGAACTCACATTAACACTTTTGTATCAGGGCCGTCTTAACAGAATTGTAGGCCCTGGGCAAAGCAATGTCCTGGGGCCCCTACCCACCCACCCACTCAAATGAAAACTAAAATTTTCAGTAAAATTAAACATATAATTAATTGGTACGTTGAATAACACAAACGTTTAAACATATAATTAATTGGTAAAGCAAGAATTAATCAACAGATTAATTAGATAAGACTGGGTTCGATTTTCAGCCTAAATCTGTGATATAACACGGCTCCTCAACCCATCAACGATACAGCGAAAAAAATTGATTATCAAAATAATATCGAAATATTTTGCACGGCGATAAATTTGCTAAATCCGGATGCACCATTCCCAAAAGCGATGGTGATTTGTTCTGTAATGGTTTAGTAAATTTCCTATTTTTCTTCCAATGGATACAAGGTTCTTCAATTTCTCTACGTTTTAAATCTAGATTATCCTCTGAGATTCGGTGGCGGACTTCGACAGGCCCAGCAACCTCATTGTACTTCATTAGGTGCATCATCGACTTCGCCATTAATTTAGTAATGGCGTGCTCTATTCACGGGGCCCCTAAAATCGTGGGGCCCCGGGGAACTGCCCAGCGTGCCCATAGCCCCTGAACGCTTGGATGGGTTGTATATGAAAATATTCCTCCTGCATGAAAACGTGAGAATACATTTGAACGGCTGGTTTAAGCAAAAACACAAATGTATCTGCCAAAATGGTGTCGAAATTAAACTGAGACTCTACCGTAAGTGAAATCATAAGTGAGATGTTTATCCGTCTTGTTGAAAATGCATCAGACCTTGATGAGACCATAGCGATCCAGATATGCCGGCCAATTTGACGTTGAAATTGATCCGAGACTCGATCTATACAGTACTGTAAGTAGATGCGTTTACTCGTCCCCAGTAACTGGAAAAATCAGACTTGGACGGCGGAGAGTGGCGTGTGACGTCATCTGTAGAGGAGGGATAACTAATTTTCCTTGGGGTAGATTTCTTCGTATATTTGTTATATATTTTTTGTCCGTTTTATGTTCGTATGAATTTTGATATTTATATTTTTGTAAAATTACATAATTTTGATATTAATTTTTGTGCTGCTGTAGTCTACAAACTACAAAACTACAAATTCAAGTCTGTGTGAAAGTTCAACTTATACAGCAGCTGAGGGGGTATTTTATTGTGTGCATGAGGTGCACAGAAAATTACTCCGTAAATTATGTTAGTGGGACATCTACAGTACGATGTTAAACAAAATTGGGTAACCCTCTGTCATCCTGGCAATAAATAAGATAATGAAATTTAATTTTAACATTTGTAATTTAGAAAACAAATTCCGACCAAGTGGCTTTTTTGACATTTACATTTACTGTATATGTAGAGACTGTGTTATCAGACTAGAGCCCAGATGGTCGGAATTTTTTTCTTCAAATTTTAAATGTAATTTTTTTTTCATACTCTTGAATTAAACGGGTATATTATGTAGGCAAGTACATTTTTAAATAGACTTCCATTATTTACATAAAATCTCCTAAATGTGATCTGTTATGATATTTCAACATACCATTACACTATAATATATTATTTGCTTTTTTATTTTAGGCTTGTATATTCGTTACTTTATTTGCCAGACGTTTGTTTGTAAATGTTGAAATATATTTCACTCACACTACACACCGTGTAGTACATTCACACCTACACACAGTGTAGTACACTTTAATCTACACACCATGTAGTACACTTAAATCTACACACCGTGTAGTACATTTAAATCTACACCCCGTTCAGTAAAATCACAACCCTTGATATTTAAGTTGTAATGCAGCTGCGACACTTTATTTTATGTATAGTGTGTGTGATGAGTGAGTGTGGGAAAATGTTCAGAGCAAAGAAAAGGTTGCGTGTTTTGGGGATGATTCCTCTACCGTGTTATTTCTTACAAAGTGGTGTTCACTTTCCCAGGGAGGAGCGACAAGTGTTGTATAAAAACGGTGAGCGTTACCCACCGTGTCAAGACGCTTGTGTTTTAGGAGGGTTTTGGTGTCATCTTCTTTGGGCGTTTGTCCTTACATCCCACGTCATTATTAACTTTGGTACAAAACCTAAGTGTTGTGTAAATACGGTGGGAATGTTAAACTTTTTGTCAGTACACACACATACACACACACGGACGGGTGAAGGACAATGTTAGAGATGACTTATAAGGATACTGTAATTAGGCTATCACATTCTCCATCTGTTACGTAATTAACCTTTGCTATTAACTTAATTACCCTTGTGTTATATAGCTCTGACATGTAACTATTTTAATGTGTTATTGCTTTTATGTCTTAACAGTTATTACCTTTAGATGGTGACGTAGTAGGCGCAACCTATTAGGGAACCTATTGACTTTATTTATTTTATGTATCCATTTTTTCTCCAGCTTACCTCTCTTGTTCTTTTTTTACTAATTTGTGTTTTTCTTTTGTATCAGGGGCTGGACAGAGATCGCGAGGGGCTGATGAAGATGAAAAAGGTGGTGAAGGGGATGCATTCAACAGGCCAAGGTGAGTGAGTCGCTCTTTCTGCCTCGTGGATTACAATACAGGACTGTACTGAATTTACTGCCGTTTACTCATAGATATACTGTACTTCTTTGCCCTTGTTGGTATTGTGAGGAAGGTGTTATAATTATATCTTATAACTATTACTGAAATTAATTTATGGCCTGAACCTGTTAATTGATGTTTAGAACATTGTAATCAGAGATCTAATGGTGCATGAACCGATTTGTAACTTTACTGACACTTTATGATTCGACATGACATTCACCAGTACACTGACTTATTAACTGCTGTACATTCCTGGGCCTTAATTTCATAATTGTACCTTTAAAAGAAAATTTGTGGGCCATTCGGATCGGAACTGAGCCTGCTACGGACGCTACTTATTTAAAGGGTTTACTTTTACTTTACTTTACTTTTGTCCTCTTCACCACTGATCGACTCGTTAGCCGCTTGGGCGATCGGTCATGCACTGTTAGCAAGTACTAGTCATGTACTGGCTCTCTGTTAATGCACCGGCTCCTGAATGTACCTGAACTTGCTCCAGTGTTGGTCAAGTCTGGTCTTGAAAGAGCTTACACTCGGTGCCGTCACAACACTTTTTGGCAGATTGTTCCAAGAGTTCACAACTCTCACTCCGAAAAAGTTTGCCCTCACAGTTTTTTGGACTTGCGGCTTCTTCAATCTTGAGCTGTGACCCCTTGTGGGGTGAGCGTCCACCATCTCCAAGTAAGGACACTCGACTGAGTAGTGCCCCTTGAGATGCTTAGGTATACACCTCAATTAGGTCGCCCCCTTGCCTGTCTGTAGTATAAGCTAGGCAAGTTCAGGCGCTCCAATCTCTCAGGGTAGTTGAGGTGCCGAAGTGCAGGCACCAGTCTGGTGGCCCTCCTTTGACCATTTCCAACCAATCGACAGTCCCTAGCATATCTCGGGGACCAGACGGGGTGACATTACTCCAGATGGGGAAGCACTTCACTCTTGAAGATCGTTACGAGGGACTGACCGTTTAGATATCTGAACGACCTTCTTATAAGACCCAATAATTTTTTACCTGCTTTACCTTCTTTTCACAATGGCCCAAAATCTTCAGCTCATTGTCAACATACACACATTCATTCTCATATAGTGCAGTTTCTTCATCCCGTTGGGACATATGATACGCCTCCTTACCGTTGGTACGCCCCAGGTGCATCCTCTTACACTTCGTGACATTGAATCTCAGCAGCCACTTCTTTGACCATTCCTGGAGCCCACAGAGATCCTTATGCAGCTCTTCACAGTCCGCTTGGTTCTCGATTTCCCTAAATAACTTAGTGTCATCGGCAAACATTTGTATGGAGGAGTGTACAACGTCAGGCATGTCATTTATGACACAAACAAAACAAAAGTGGGCCCAATACCCTGCCCTGCGGTACCCCACTTGTTACAGGTACGGATGATGGTTTCGTGCTATTAATTACCACATACTGCTTGCGGTCATGTAGAAAGTCTTCTATCCATGCTAGGACATTTCCCTGAATTCCGTACCCTTCCAGTTTGATTTTCAGCCTTTCATGGAGTACACTGTCGAAAGTCTTGGCAAAATCTAGGTATATATTGTCGATATTACCACCCAGTTCCAGAATATGGGTCCAAATATCCAATACCTTGAGCAATTGCGTAAGCAGGAGCGCCCCGGCATAAAACCGTGTTGGCAATCCTTTACAAGGTTGCTTCGTAGTAGATGTTCCATCGGGGCATCTCTGATAATACTCTCAAGTACTTTACATATTTTGCTGGTCAGGCTCACCGGTCTATAGTTGTTCATGGAGTGACGATTGCCCTTCTTGAAGATAGGACTCACATAAGCCACTTTCCAATCACTGGGGACCTTTTGTTCATCCAGGCATTTAGAGAACAGTATCTTCAGGGGCTCAGCAAGCTCATTGCACAACTTTCTTAGCACTCTGGGATGCACCATGGTCAGGGCCGGGACTTTTATGGACTTTTAGCTTTGACAGTTTATATCTAATACCCTCTTCTGTGAATACAATGTGGGTCAGTGCTGTGTCGAACTATTTGTCCTCAAACGCAGGAAGGTTAATCTCATCCTCTCTTGTGAACACCGAGGAAAAGAAGCTGTTTAATGCCTCAGCTTTATCCTGGTCAGAATCTGCATAACTACCATCTTCAAGCCCCAGGTCTGATACTCCTACTTGGGTTTTTAATTTCGACTTTACATAGCGGTAAAACGCCTTTGGGTTTGACTTAACCTCGCTTGCATCGCTGCGTTGTCTATTAAGGCTCTTACGCTCCTTTGATTTAGTGGGGCCACGGTTTGGGGATCTGTAGATACACCCAACAATAAGTAAGTCCCCTCCCGGAGTGTTTTGAATTTAGTAGTTGTCAAATTTATAGATTTTTTTAAGAAAAATAACAAAAATTATATTCTAAATATAAATGAATTATTCCTAACTGCGTTTCAAATTTGTTATGAAAATTATGATTTGGGGATTTTAGGTTGTTAGATTTGGTTTGATTGGGTAATTTTTTTATTAAATTTATTGTGTGAGAATATTTTAGTTTTATTTAATTAACCCTATATTTTCCTTGTGCTTCAAAGCTCTGCCCACTCTGAGGGTACCAGATTATAAGGTTAGGTCAGGTCCTTCTGGTTAGTTTAAGATATACATGCACAATATACTGATAATTGAGAGTCGTTTTTGCATGTTTTTACCTTCACACTATTGGTAATTGGAGGGGGGATCATATCTCCAAAGGTACTGCACAGTACAGTACTATTGTTTCCACCGTAAATGAAGGTCACATTCGTCTGAAACAGTGAAAAACACAACAAAAAATAAATTGAAAGTAGTTTCCGTGAATTGGTCACTACTGCATATTTACTGGTTTTACTGTTTATTTTATGTGTGTTACCCCCACATTTTCCCATTGCTTCGAAGCCTTGCCCACTTTATGTTGGGTCAAGATTCATAGGGTAGGAATTGTCCTAATTCAATAACTATGCATGTCCCCAAACTTTGAGTACCATTTCACCAACCACTAAATTGAATTTCGAGTACTATATAGTAAAAGTATCCAATTATTTTTAGCAATTTACGAATACTGTTTAAAACATTTTGATCACACATGTAACATATTGTTTTCATAATCATATTTCCTAGGCTGGTCATGTGTAACTGCATTGTGATAATCTTGACTTATGAAGTGTAATTCTTCCTTCTCCCCATGACCAAAGTCCAAGGGATAACTATGCTGGCCATCACTCTTTGTTAGATTCGGTTTCCAATCATAGAGACACTGGATTCATTTTCATATTTGTGTCAAATTGTAGCATGGCAAGTTTTGGGGGGCAGAAATGTTGGGCGTGGTGCTAGCCCAAGTAATGTTTGGAGAGATACGACTTTTCCTGATGCTCTTGTCGTGGTAATCTGCCATGTAATCTGCTCCTCGTTATCATAACCCTATCGGATGATTGTGCATGTACGTAATACAGTACAGATGTACACTATCTCAAAAAAGTATCTGCCAGGATGGATCCGATGACTTCCAAAATGTTACATGCAACTCGTGATGTCCCGGTAGGGTTAGGATGCGTAGCTCTATGGCATACTAATCCTACTACATTTGGTCATTGAACATCTTATTAATTATGCCAAAATAAATACACATTTCATACTTATCTTGAACTATATACCAATATCTATCATCTGTAGTTTCATAATGCTTCACATAGAGTGCTGACAGTGACGCTCTGAGGTGGTGAGACACGGAATCATCACCAACCTCTCCACCAGATGTTGGTGGATATAACATTTATTACGAGCTGTACACATCTGGCTGTAGCATGTGTGTGGGAAACTTGACCAGAAGTGAACCACGTGTTTAATTGCTGCTCCTTATAAAATAAGTGTGAATCACTTGTAAGGCTGTGCTAGTGTAAATAATTCAACTTTCAAAAATAGATGTCATTTTGCAGCTTTTGTGGGATGAAATGTGAACATGTATAGGTGCTAGAAATGGTGAGAGGAGAGGGTCCAGGAGTAGCTGCTTCCTCTTGAACTGAGTGATAGATATATCTTGCTTTAGGTTTTGCTTTGATTATGTTGCGGAAATAATCCATAGCCCATTTACTGTATACACTTTGCCCTTCCACTCCTGGGACGCTTCCTGTTCCTCAGTACAGAACATGTTACCTTCCTGTTCCTCAGTACAGAACATGTTACCTTCCTGTTCCTCAGTACAGAACATGTTACCTTCCTGTTCCTCAGTACAGAACATGTTACCTTCCTCTTCCTCAGTACAGAACATGTTACCTTCCTGTTCCTCAATACAGAACATGTTACCTTCCTCTTCCTCAGTACAGAACATGTTAACCTTCCTGTTCCTCAGTACAGAACATGTTACCTTCCTGTTCCTCAGTACAGAACATGTTACCTTCCTGTTCCTCAGTACAGAACATGTTACCTTCCTCTTCCTCAGTACAGAACATGTTACCTTCCTGTTCCTCAGTACAGAACATGTTACCTTCCTGTTCCTCAGTACAGAACATGTTACCTTCCTGTTCCTCAGTACAGAACATGTTACCTTCCTGTTCCTCAGTACAGAACATGTTACCTTCCTGTTCCTCAGTACAGAACATGTTACCTTCCTGTTCCTCAGTACAGAACATGTTACCTTCCTGTTCCTCAGTACAGAACATGTTACCTTCCTGTTCCTCAGTACAGAACATGTTACCTTCCTGTTCCTCAGTACAGAACATGTTACCTTCCTGTTCCTCAGTACAGAACATGTTACCTTCCTGTTCCTCAGTACAGAACATGTTACCTTCCTGTTCCTCAGTACAGAACATGTTACCTTCCTGTTCCTCAGTACAGAACATGTTACCTTCCTGTTCCTCAGTACAGAACATGTTACCTTCCTGTTCCTCAGTACAGAACATGTTACCTTCCTGTTCCTCAGTACAGAACATGTTACCTTCCTGTTCCTCAGTACAGAACATGTTACCTTCCTGTTCCTCAGTACAGAACATGTTACCTTCCTGTTCCTCAGTACAGAACATGTTACCTTCCTGTTCCTCAGTACAGAACATGTTACCTTCCTGTTCCTCAGTACAGAACATGTTACCTTCCTGTTCCTCAGTACAGAACATGTTACCTTCCTGTTCCTCAGTACAGAACATGTTACCTTCCTGTTCCTCAGTACAGAACATGTTACCTTCCTGTTCCTCAGTACATGTTACCTTCCTGTTCTCAGTACAGAACATGTTACCTTCCTGTTCCTTAGTACAGAACATGTTACCTTCCTGTTCCTCAGTACAGAACATGTTACCTTCCTGTTCCTTAGTACAGAACATGTTACCTTCCTGTTCCTCAGTACAGAACATGTTACCTTCCTGTTCCTCAGTACAGAACATGTTACCTTCCTCTTCCTCAGTACAGAACATGTTACCTTCCTGTTCCTCAGTACAGAACATGTTACCTTCCTGTTCCTCAGTACAGAACATGTTACCTTCCTGTTCCTCAGTACAGAACATGTTACCTTCCTGTTCCTCATTACAGAACGTTACCTTCCTGTTCCTCAGTATAGAACGTTACCTTCCTGTTCCTCAGTATAGAACATGTTACCTTCCTGTTCCTTAGTACAGAACATGTTGCCTTCCTGTTCCTCAGTACAGAATGTGTTACCTTCTGTAAATTAACATTCTGTCATATTTTCAGGTTATGTGGGGTCTGAGGTGGACATGAGTGATGCCCTGAGGAAGCTTGGTGACACAGGTGGACGGCCAGAGGACAAGGCACTGAGTGAAGCCTTCCACAAGTTTGCTGTAGTTATCCGGGAGCATTCACAGCTACTTCAACAGCTGGTATTTCCCATATTTTTTGTTTTATGTTTAATACCAATGTATTCAACTGTACTTTATGTAGCATTGATTTCCATGTGTTTAAATAGGAAACACACAGCACTGTATAATTTACTGAACCATTACTGTACTTGTATAGTTAAACAGAAAACCATTATTTAATGACTTACCATACATGTTAGGAGCGCGGTGACTGGTAGCCAAATGGATACAGTTCTCGCAACCTGTTCCAGGGGTCGGTGTTCGATTCCTGGGCGTTCTCAGCTCACTCAACTATAAATGGGAAGTGAAGGCGGTCTGGAGCAGTACTGGCCATGCTGCCTCCTTGTGTACCGAAGGCTTAGTATACAGTGTGCTGTACCCACACTGTTCCTAACTGGCAGTCATGCCTATGGGACCCACTTTCACTTTTTTCACCATTCATGTAACAAACACTATGTTAATTATTTATTTACTAAGTACTGTAACATATGCTCTGTTTGCAGATCACAAACCAACGGAACAACTTACTGCATCCACTGGACAGTGTGCTGAAGGGTGACCTGAAAGGTGTCAAGGGTGACCTTAAACAGCCGTTTGAGAAGGCTGCCAAAGTTTATGATGCTAAATTTACAAAGATTGAGAAGGAAGTAAAACAGCAAGTAAGTCATAAATGAATACAGTACAGTATTAGATTCACATTTTTTCATCTCTGCAGTGTAAATATTATGTATCTGAAATGTGTTTAGAAATAAGATCCCATTAATGTATTAGCTAATGCATGTTGAGTTTATTAGTATTTGCTAGAGCATAAAGACACATCATTTTCCATATTATATTTGGAAAATTTCATCCTCCTGTATACCTCAGTAAAACATTATATTATACTGTGATACTAAAAATGGCAGAATTTCATGCTATGTTGTGATAGTTGAGGCTCACTTATATTTGCATTTAATATACTTTTGTCACACTCATCCTCTAAGGTATTTTAATTGTAATACAATTTTCTAAAACAGTACCATTACTTTAGATAAACTTTAAATTCTATCTTCTTTTGAAGATAATTCTCACTTATTGTGTTAAACTGTGAATTATGATAAGTGTATGAAAAATTTGCACTCTTACAGGCCAAGGAAGCGGGGTTCTTCAGATTAGAAGTAAATGCTTCGGAGATTGCTGAAGAAATGAGCAAAGAGCGTAAAATGTTTCAGCTTCAGATGTGCGATGTTAGTGCAACAGTGAATAATGTCTAATGTATATAGTGTCTTACTACTAATGAATACTGTACCATATGTTATATATCGAATACAATTTAAACATACTGTACTTGATGCAGTGACTTATAATGCAGTACTGTACTGTTATATCATGTTTCTCTTCCAGTACTTGATAAAAGTGAATGAAATCAAGACTAAAAAGGGAGTAGAATTTCTACAAAAGCTTGTGGAGTATTATCATGCATATTGCAAGTAAGTTCAGATGTAAACATTTATTGTACAAGCTATTTTTAATTGTATCTGCAATTATGATACTGATACTGTACATGTATTATTAAATTCTGTAGTATGTATACTTGCATGTGGTAGAAGTATTATATAATATTTTTTTTAGTTACATACAAAACATCTTTAATGAAAATTGCTTTTAGGTTAACACACTGTATATAATAATTGTGAACTAAGTAAAATATATTTGTTTTCTTTTTCAATAGGCAAGTAACAAGCAGTGAATTTCATATCTTTTATGCTCATGTTGTGTTAAGCAGCTGCACAGTTAATCAAAGATGTTTGCAGTGCAGTACTTTACAGTACATGCCCTTAACATGTACAGTGATTTGATTTATTTCTACAGTATTTGTAATAGTTGCCAGATTATATAAGTTTTGTCTGTTAATTTTTTAGCCACAGTTTACAAAAAGTAAGAAAAGGTGATTTACATATACAGTAATTGTTAAATAAATAAATTAATATATATATTTTAACTAGGTACTTTGAGGAAGGCATGAAGACATGGGCCCACTTTGGATCTTATGTCAGCGAGCTGAGTGAGAAGCTGCGTGATGTGAGACACAGACAGGAAGAAGAGCGACGTCATTTGTTAGCCACCAGAAAACTGATAAGCAATTCTCTTTCCGCTGAAGTAAGACCAGAGGTAAGTTATAATTTTTAATAGATACTGTATGATCCTCTAGTTCAATACTGTAGTGTGTCTTATTATCTTTTCTTTAAAGCAAGTTTAATTTGTGTAAACAGGTCACTTTGAAGGTATTTGAAATACCTTTAAAGTGATATGTAACCCTACAGTTTTATGAGATGGTATTAATTGCTCACAACAATGTACAGTAATTCATTATTAAACATGTAAGAGAAGTGAATACTGTACTGTATATGTTTCAAATGAGATTATGAAAAACCACCCATAAAGAGTTAAGAACATTATTATAGAAATTAAAGTACTCTACAGTATTGTACTGCACATAAAAACTGTAGAAATGTATATACTGTAATGTATAACAAAGTGTAATGAAGCATAAATTAGAGTCAAAGATAAGGATTCACTTTGTGTATGTAAAAATTGAGGATATGAGGAAGAGTGTAAGATGTATACCTACCTACTTCTCTTGTCTCTTTTATACCCTTGTTTAGCACTCATACTATTCTTATTACTTCACCCCATTCTTTTGTACCACATGAGCCACGCTACACAAAAGCAGGAGAGGAATTAATATAGTAAATAGATGGATCAAGTAAGTGTTGGATTCTTCATAAGAAGAATTATCATATCACATTATAAGGTTATTGAAAGGGAGAGCAGTACTGTCAATGGGCTGAAGTGTGTCACAGTGTTTATTATAGAATCATCTTGTACTGGAAGGTTCTCTCTTGCCACTGGAATATTCCACATGACAGTAGGTTTAATTATGTGTATTGTGTATACCTGCAGGGTGGAGTAGCACCACCTGTGTATCATCTTCACCGAGCACAAGGCAACATGATCCATGGCACAACCAAGAGTGGCTATCTCTATAAGAAGTCTGAAGGTATTGAGAACTTGAGTTTAGCTCCACTTATAAATGTATACAGTATTTATTTTAAGAGTAACCAGATGATGATCATTTATGATGTTTATGAATTCCAACTAGATGAGGTTCATCTGCAAGTTTTCTGTAAATAATAACATTCAGTTATTTTTTAAATTTATTAGATACCACCTAAAAAGTCTTTCAAGTAAATTTCCTGTAAATGATAACCAAATACAGTAATTCTTTTCACATAGAGTATTATGATGTGTAAATGCTTCACAAAATACGTCAAACTACAATATGTATATACCTGTACTGTACTGCATGCCAGTCAGTGTGTAAAATTGTTCACGAACAGCATTGACTGCTGTTGATGAGCATAAAAAGTCAGAGTTGTGTTGATGGCTATATGAATTATTTTTAAAGAAGATTCTACAAGTGATCATTATATTATGTCCTGTGCTTGAAAGATGATAAGTGGTATTCTTTTCTGTAACTCATCTGAAAATATTATTAAGTCACCAAAATAAATAAGTGCCATGCATATACTAGCAGGTAGTGTTTACCTTGTTCATCCTTGTGTCTGTGTGTCCATCCATCACATTTTTTATTCTATGCAATATTCTGTCGGAGGATGGATTCCAACCATACACTGAACACAGGATTTTAATCATTTATAAGGGTATTTCAATTGATTTTCAGGTCATTAATTGTAAGGTGAGGTCACTGATCATACTTTGAATGTGACACCCAGTAGCACACCCAATTAGTAGATCTCAGACATTTCAGATCTTTATTTTCAATTAATTTACAGTAAATTAAGGCATGTTTGCTAATTGGATGACATAGCCTGCCCTTGGTGACCTGTGATGTTGGTGACCTGTGACCTTATCGTAAACATATATTTAGTTAACTTATTAACCTACCCAGAGTAATGTTTTGAATGTATCTGAATACAGTATTTAAAAATCTGCTGTTGTACTATACACCAAAAGAGGTTCAAGACTAACAGAGTCAAGCAATGGGAGTATGTCAACTGTTCATAATAACAGACTACCATCTAGATATACTGTACTGGAAATTGTAGAGATTTTCTGTTATAAGCAGATGAATTGGAGCAGTTCCAAATGTGTCAGTTATAAACAATATTCTGGTATTGTGAGGTTTTATTACATTATTTTATCGGGTTGCATGGTGGTTCTTTCTGTTGTATTATACAGATACATTATAGTAATTGTCTATAAATCTTACAACCAAGTTTAGATATAGGCGTGAGTTTAGTGGAATGATTTTGTCTTGCTTTTATGTGTTTATTATAATACATTATCAAATAATTAGATATCCATTTGTACATGGATCTTTCAGGGCCTCCATAGTTATTAGTTCAAGTTTAGAGATTTTTTAATTTTTGTATTGGTTCATTAAGTTCTCTTTTTTTTTTAATAGGCAAAATGCGTAAAGTATGGCAGAAGAGGAAGTGTGAAGTACGCGACAGTGTTCTTTGTATACGTCACTCAGATGAAACTAAGCCCCCAGTCACAGTTCCATTGCTTACGTGCCAGGTTAAAGCCAGCATGGATGACCACAAGTGTTTTGATCTTGTATCTTGTAAGTATTCAATTTTTATGTTTTAATACCATAGTCAAGATGATCCATCCATTTATCTGGAGACAAAAGAGCTCCACATACAGTAATAAAAAAATATTCTTTGGTGTCTTGGAACTTAGCTGCATACTTATGTAATTTCATTATCGCTACTATGTTGATTTAATGCAAAATGTGTGTTTTTATAGTTAATCGAACATACCACCTCATGGGGGAGGATGAAATGGAAGCTGCAGCGTGGATGTCTGTCCTTCTCAACAGTAAAGAAGGTGAGTTACATGAGTATTTCTTGTATTTTTTTTAAGTACAAAATAAATATACTTTAGCCAAAGTAAATTTTCAGAAATTTAATACTATATAAATATTGTATACGTCGTGTACTGCACAGTATATTTATATTTATTAAGGCGGACCCCGCTCAGCCAGATTTTACTTAAACTGACCACAATCCTCCCCCAATCCCGCCCCACCCCGCCCATTCTGGGAATGGAATGAATGACATCAGTGGAAGATAGTAGAATAAATGAATATTAATTTTCAAGTATTGTGCTGTATTAGAGGAACATCAGCCAATGTGAATTAATATTCAAAAGATAATTTTGGAATTTTAGTGGTCTAGGCTGTGATGTTATACTCATGAACTTAGTACTTCTTAGGTTGATTTCATCAGTTATACCCAGCTCAGAACTAGACGTAGTGGATAAGATGATAGACTGTACTTGGTGTACTTGTCAGCAAGTGGTGAGGTAGGGAACTGTGGGTATGGGGACTGGCAGGTGTTAGGAGAACTGGTCCAACAGTAGAGGAACAAGGAGGTAAACAACAAAGTGGTTAGACTGTACAAGAGACTTAGAAAAAACAATTGGAAATTTTATAAATATTTTTCCTTCTTCATTTTAGGTGCTTTACAAAAAGCGTTGTGTGATGATACTCCTGGGCCTTCCCCTGCTGATTCTGGCTTCCGAGAATTACAGCAGAGGATCATCTCATATGTACGAGGCTTACCTGGCAACAATCTCTGTTGTGACTGTGGTGGTACTAATGGTTAGTGTCTATGGTAATAATAAGTTCTTTATTTAAGGTTAGTATTGAGAGTCTGCCTTTCTTTCCACAAAGGAGAGGATGCAGAGTTTTTTCCGTTTATTCTCTAATAGTATAAGTATCGATGGCAAAATCAATTCTAATAGACATTAGGGTTACACTGACATGTGGATTTATGGCAGCAACAGCTGGTTCACAAGGTTATTTCTGAGGAGGCTCAGTTGTAGAGAGAGCTGGAAGTGTAGCAAGACTCCTCAGAAACCCATGTCAGGTAAATCTGTGGTATAAAGACCATATTTGTGTGTTGCAGATGTAACTTGGCTGTCAACCAACTATGGTGTCATGGTGTGCATTGAGTGTTCAGGGATCCACCGAGATCTTGGAGTTCACATTTCCAGAATACAAAGTTTAACTTTGGACAAGGTAAGATTCTATATAATGATTTGAATTCTCTGTTTGGTTTTTAATGCAAAATATGTTGGTACTTACCCCTGAAGATATGAATTACACGAAAGCGCTTGGGAACTTTGTGTTTTCTTGTTTCCTTGTGGTTATCAGCATATACCTAGATCATGCACACCTACAGTGATTTACTTGCATATATACTGTGTGTGTATATATATATATATATATATATATATATATATATATATATATATATATATATATATATATATATATATATATATATATATATATATATATATATATATATATATATATATATATATACTTTTATTAAAAGCATCATTATATTTTTTAAAGCAGTACAGGCATTAAAGTCATTATTGATATATTTATGGGCTTTTCTAATGTTGAAAATATATGAACATTATTTGCAATTTTAACCACAGGGTTCTACACTGTAGAATCTTCAGTATATATTTTGAAGTTACAGTACATGTAATATACTGGCAGACCTCTTGTAATTGACAAGAAATATTCCTGAGGAGTGTTCATTAAATAATAGCTCTGCAAATGTCACCATGACTTGTTAAAACAAAGAGTTTAACATAAATAACATTACAGTACTGTAAACAACATAGACTAAAACTAAATTTAATCAACAATCACCAGTTAATTTTATCAGTATTGCCTTAATGATAAAGAAAGCTAAGCCAAGTGATCAACCTATGTTTGCCTTCTGTATCATTGGTATTTTCACATCCATAATACAGTACAGTATGTATTTTCTTGGTCACCTGGGCTGCTTTACCAACACTGATTTGCAGGCCCTTTTCCAGACATGATAGGACTAAATTTTTCATTTAACACTTGCAGGAGAGAGTACTGTACTGTACTAAGACAAAAAACATAAGATTTGTCAGGCTCGACTTGTTGATGAAAACAATGGCTGATTGCTGGAGAGGATGTAGATAAAGGTTGCTGTGGTCATGTTCATCACTTCTTTCACTTTTATTGTTTATATTTTTTATTTAATGATACTGATGTATTTATTGAATTTAAAAAAAAATTCTTGGCTGTTAAGCAAAAATGCATTAGTTGAGATTCCATTATATGAGATTTACATGAATGCAAATTGAGACAATGAGCCATAAATAAACCAAGTTTTATTAATTCAGTCACTAGTACATAAAAAGTATTATTTTTTTTATTGTACAGTATAATGAACAATTATATTACAAAAACAAATGTGTAAAAAGAATACAGTATCTGAAAAATTATTCATAACTTAGAAACATGACAAGGCATGTTGACAGTGGTGTGAGAAGTCAGGAAAAAGGGAAACTGAAATCTTGGATGGAAATGTTGAGAAGGATGTACAGTATTGTACTGTACTGTAATCACATGAATTAGTAGTAGATAGCAACACCCACTAGGTGCATGGCTTACATGATTTCTGGGTAAAATTTTCAAACTAGATGCACAAATCATTTTGCAAAGAATATCTGACATTCTCACTCAGGTCCAGATGTTGTATAACAAGTACTGTACCTGTATGTGGTATTTTCAGTGTTCCATCTTATTGGGTAAAAAATATTTATACTTGTAATTTTTGAGTTCACATTATGTCATAGTATTAAAAATATAAGGGTAATTGAATTATTACATTAGATATTAATAGATATTGGATGGATAAAATCTGGATTTCAGATGGGACATCCTACTGTCATGTTGCTCATATAAAATTACCAATGGAAAGTTGAAAGAACAGTAAACTCTCGATTTTTTAGTACAGGTACAGTAATGGGGAGTAAGACCAATCTGAATTTGGAGAGGGGTGCCTGCAGGAATCTGTTAACTTGTATAAAGTGACTCATTTCACCTCACCCCTGTTCCAAGCAATAGTAGTGAACCAATACTGTATACTGGTCATTATCTGAAAGCAAGTTAATGATACAAATGAATTGAAAATGTAATGCAAAACACTAACTGCTGCACTGTCCAGGGGTGAATTACATTTCCCTACTTTTTATGGCAGTGGTATTAGACAATTTAACCATTTGATGAACATCATGTTTAATGGAACACAGGGCTAAGTATTGCTTGTCAACTGCACTCTAAAACAAATGTGTTGATGGGAGTTGGATTAAGGTTTGGGAGTGGAGTCCACACTCTTAAAAATTCTCATACCCACCTTTACAACCCACATACAGTATCTTCAAGTAAATAATCTGGAACAAACAAAACTTTAGATTCAGCTATATTTTTATATACTGTACTGTTATCATATTTCTTTAATCCTCATCTCCATTTGATATGATCATAATTACCACATCCTAGATATCGTTCTCAAGAATGTGGAAATTTCTTCTTTGGTTTGACGTGTATAGATACTTCAGTTTGAAGTTAGGTAGTTAACCTTGGTGCTTATTGTACTGTACTTCATATTAACATAAATGCTTGACTAATTATGCTATTATATTAAATGAATTACTGTACTAGTCCTTGCATATTGTAGTACAATAGTTTCCTTTGATATCACAACAAAACATGCAAGATTCCTCAAATGTGCTGTGTGAAAAAAATAAATTATTTTATAATGAATATTGAATTTTTAACAACAAAATCTTCATATTGTATTAGCTACATTTTAATTTAATGAGTCATATTAATAAGTTTTCATGTACACTTGGTAAAAAACTATCTTCACCATTTTTGTGCGAAACAAAATGACACCACGCACGAAGGTTTTTGATAAAGGTCCTTGAGGCATACTGTTATTCACCAATCATATTGCAATGAACTAATTTTATATTTTGAATGAAATAACTAAATTAGGCCTACCATAATACAGGTTGACACTCCCTTATCCGAAATCCTTGGGGCCAGAGGCATTTCGGATTTCGGAATTTTTCGGTTTTCAGAATGGTTAGGTTTTTTTTTTTTTTTTCTTTTTTCTATAAGCCCACCCGGGCATAGATCACTGACCCACATCGGGGCCTGGGAGGGGTGAAAATATTATTATAATAATAATAATAATAATAATAATAATAATAATAATAATAATAATAATAATAATACAGTAATGTAATAATAATTCATAGGTCTATGTCGCATTTCTCACTTTTGATCTTTTTTTTCATTCTTGTATTTCTTTATTATTAGTATTATTATTATTATTATTATTATTATTATTATTATTTTATTACAGTATTATTGTTATTATTATTATTATTGATTTTATTATTATATTTTATTATTACTATTATTATTATTGTTATCAGTATTATTTTATTTTGGTGTACAGTATTTTAATTAAAAATTTAATTTACTATGAATAATTATTAGTATTATAATTATTATTACTATTACATTTTTGCCCACCAAGCCGCGATGTGAGTCAGTGATTTATGCCCGGGTGGGCTATTCCCTGTCTAAAAAAAAAAAAAAAAAAATGCCCCTCAAAAAACTTTCGGTTTTTAGAGCTTTTCGGTTTTCGGAATTTCGGATAAAGGGTTGTCAACCTGTAGGTAGGAAATGTATCACAATCATGCCTACCAACCCTGCGAGACAACTGGATTGTTCAGTTAAAATTCATCGGACCCATCCTATAAGATACTTTTTTTACTTAGTGTACAGTGTGTAAGTTACCAGTGCAAGATTTTTTAAATACTTTTTGTAATGTAGATTAAGAATATTATTAAATTAAATAATTCTATTAAAAATTTCTGGGTTTTTAAAGGTGGGAACTGCACAGTTGCTTCTGGCCCGACACATGACCAACAAGTCCTTCAATGAGGTAACAGAGGCTACTTCACCAAGAAAGCCTGAACCCACCAGTACAATGTAAGTCTCAAGATAATTGATAGCGGCAATTTTTAAATGTTTTATCAATATTCCGTCTGTGACTTCCTTGATCCATGTCTAACAGCTTAGATATGAACGATTGTAAATTTAAACCAGTCAGAAATGTAAAATTTTTCTTGTCTTTGTTTTCCCCTTTTTTTTTTTTTTTGCAAGAAGATACAGTTATGACAAGTGCTTAAGACAGACCCCTCTGTCCTCCTGGTTCACTTGCTAGACATACTGACTCATTAGAAAAGAAAATATGGTAAGGCAATGACATCACATTCTTCCTAATAGCACTGAGTCACTCAAGCACAAAAGTACCAACATCAACTTGTATCCACTTCAGGCAGAAAGCATGGATACTGAAGCTTGCTTCATTGGACAAGAAATTGGATAACAAGTTGTGTAATGGTACATGACTTAATCTCAGTGAAAAGGACATGCTTAAGCTTTTTGTGGGTCATCGATGATGTTGCAAGTTTGCATGTCCAAATCTCCATGGAGTGGCTGTTCAGATTGGTGCCATTTCTAAGAGTCCTACCTCCAAATAGATCTCCAATATAACCTAATCAGTAGCATTAGGGCCTAGTCCTATTGGACCCCAATACTAATGGTTAAGTTTGCTTGGGGCCTGTCTTGACATATTTCACCTAACTTACAACTGTCCATGTAAACTCCTGATGGCTCTCAGTTGTGTAATCGCATGTCTTTGAACTAGAATCTATCATCTCTCTTCCTCACGCCTCCCCCAATCAACTGAGTAAAATTTGAGGGTCAACAATGAGAAATATGTTTTGCAACTAATAGATTGAATTGTTAAACTGATAGTTAGTTTGTTCCCAATGGATAAGTTTCTGCACTTGATGTTTCTTCATATAACTATGACTTACTGTTAGTATCAGCTGACAAACTTATTTCTGTACATGTATTTCATTTCCAACCAGACTGGATGGAATAATGTTTCATCTTTTTAACCCGTATTTTTCAAGTAATTGAGGCAGAATAGGTCCAATAGGCGTCATAAGAGAAATACATTATACCCTGTATATTGTATCTGTACCATCAAAAAATTCCTGGAATACATATATGATTTACATTCATCCCAAACTCACTTTGAGTCAGATTTGAAGGCAAACCTACCTCAGTGTCTGAATAATACACATTTTATTCATTTATGATGACTTATTTATCTGTAAGACTTCATCTTCATTCAGTTTTTCATGTTTATGTACAGTTCTTTATTTCCCACCTCCATTTTTCCAGACCTAATCATAAATTTGTTGATGGATCTTGAAATTGGTTTTAGCAAAGAAAGGTCCTTTAAAAAGTTTTCATAGATTCAGTCTTATTTTGTAGTTTTTGCTATAATTAGATCTCATGCCATATTTTCTTTCTGCCATGCCTTTATGTTACCTTTCAGGTTACATGTACAGTATTTGTTCCTAGACTTATGTGGTTGGACAAGTATTACTTGCATGGTTTGGGTAGATCTCTCTTCTTGAGGAACTTTCCTTTCTGTTAGTCTTGTCATGGTTAGACATTCATACATCTTTCATGTATGATCCTCCCATGAGAGGAGAATTCTTTCAGGCCTTCTGTCAGATAGTCTGTTTAGCAGTACTCAAGTTGACTAACTGACAGAGGGGAAGGGAATGGTCTGAATTCTGTAAGCTTGAGTGACTCATTGTGTGTGCTTGGTGCTGGTAGGAAGCATGTCCCGTCTCTGCCTCCTGTATTTCTTTCATTTTTATAGAATGTGTCCAGCCAGTGACCCATGAGTGCACTTTTGAGCACTTGTTATAACTGGAACTTGATGCTTTAGAGAGAAAGGAACAAGTCTTTCTTTCTTCAAACTGTTTTCCTGTGGACTCTGACTATAACTTGTCTCATTATTGTTTTCTTGTTTTATATGCTGGTCATTTTGTGCATTTACTTGGCCAAGAAACAACTAGGTCACAATACTCAAGAGTAATATTATTCAGTTTTTTATTACTGAAGATCTTGGTCACCTTAAAGAAATTATTACAATTTTTGCCCATAAATATTCATTTGACCATATGCAACTTCTTTTACTCAGTGACTCACGAGAAGACTGGCTAAGAAGGTGGTGAGTACGGCTCTCACTCTTAGCCGTGTCTCTAGGCAGCAGCAGGAATCAGAAAGCAGACTTTTTTGTTTTAACAGCATCATTATGCTCCAAACATTATTTTTGAAATTTAACATCAAATGGAGTAATTTAAACATGTTCCTGTCAGTATAAATGAGCCTCTTACAGTGGTTGCAATTTTTAGTTTTGATGCTGTATGCATATTTTTTAAAAGCATCTGTCAAGTTTGGGAACTAATTAGACAAACATCACATTACATCATATTCTATATGTTAAAAAAAAAATGTTAAAGCCAAAATATTCAAGTACAGTTGTGATTCAGTATATGATTTGACATCTTTATTTTGTGATCTGGTAAATAATCTGCTTCTGATGCCAGTTTATCTGCTGTGTTAGTGTGGCAGTGGTCATTATGGGACGGCCGAGCATTGCAGATGTGGCATGAAAAATATTTGTTCAATAGAAAGAAATCAATTGGACTGACAAATTTAGCAGCTGATGAATGTGAATGTTGAGTTATTTTTGTTTTTAGCAGAATTTTTTGCCAGTGTGACCAGTGACCATAGAGATAATTCAATATATCAAAATCATAAAAGCACTCTTTATCTCTGAACACTTGTTGTATTTTTGGGTTTATTGTGGATATTTATTTAGTGTTTGTTTATGCTGTAGAAATTGCTTTATTATTGTTTTCGTCACAATATATGTAATGTATATAGGGCATGGTGTACATTGGTCCAGCTGAGATTACTACATGCACAGTAGCTCAGTAGCTGTACAGTGGTCCCTCCATTAACGAGTACAATTGGTTCCACAGAGTCACTCGTTAACTGAAAATCTCGTTAACTGAGTCTATTATTTCAATGGGATATTGGGTAATTGGTTCCAACTCACAGAATTCCCTTAAAATGAATTTAAAGGTACATACAAAGTACTGTATGCCGGTAATAGAATTAACAAAACATTAAATACAGTATAAACAAAATACAGTACTGTACAATATACTGTACAATAATAAATAAAAAACAATAAAATATTTTAACACTTAATTTGAGATGTGTATGTAGAATTCCCGGCGGCTTTGTTTATATAGCGACATCGCAAACATCTGATTGTAGACACAGTCGATGACGACACGCCATATTCGTTACAGAGTGCATTGGTTCTGATGCCTTCGTATTTCTTAATAATTTCTTGTTTTACTTTAATTAAAATCACCTTCCGAGATTTCTTCGGACCCAGGCTTGATAATTTCACCAATAAAATTTTAAGTTCACAACAATCTATTTAACTAATTCCAGATTTTTTTATTTAAACCAACACTGCACTGTATATTATTAACTTGTCAACTAATTTTGGAATTACCAATAATTTTAATGTAAAAATAAAAAAAAAATATTCAAGAGCACAACTTTCTCAATGTTTACTCCACTGGAAACAAAGGTAAACAGAACCGATTATTGGCAGACGAGTCGATCAGCTGATGCACGCACCAAAACGTGTTTATCGTAAGGCTGTCATTAATAGAATTTGTAATCGCTAATAGAACTGAAAGTCCTTACGGGAGGTAACTCGTTAACTGAAGTCTCGTAATTTGAACCGCTCGTTAATGGAGGGTCCACTGCATATTAACTTTGCAGATTGCCATATTATTTAATGTAGAAAAGCACATTTTGCATGTTAGTAAATGACCTCAGGTGCAAATGTCACTTTTAGGAACATTTCTAATTTAGAATAGATTAAATTAATTGGTTATAATTGTCACATCCAACACAGTGAATTATTTTAGAATGTGTGGCTGCCCTACTGCTTGACTTCTTTATTTAATCATTTATTTTTCTACTATTAAATACTACTTTAAGATAAATAAATCTCCCATTTCTTATTACAAGCCTTTATGAACTACTGTAGATGTACATCTCAACTATTTTCTACATAATGAATATTGTATGTATCTGATATTTTGTTTTCATGGCACCATCCCCAGAGGGAGCTCCCCAGGGAGTGAAGTATTGCAGAGAAGATAAGATTTATTTTTTTTATTACAGTATAGTATTTCTCAAATCATTCAGGAGTTAGGAAAAATATCCTGTATATTTATGAGGATAAAAAAAAGTAGAAAATAGAGAGATATTTTACTGTGAGCTTTACTGGATTTGCAAACTTAATGACTCTACTATAAATGTTTGTCTTGTTTCCAGTAATGTTATATCTGTTATAGACAACTGGGCTGGGCAGCTTCAAAATCAAAATCAGTTACCTGTATTTGTCTGTCAAATTAAAACCAGCATGAAGTATTTCACCTTATAATATCACATGTTCTTAGTTTTCTATTATCATAGTAAAATGTTATATGATACCTGACTTGGAGTATAATTTCTATGTTCACCTGTATTTAGATTTGAATAGTAGACATTACTGTACTTAATATTTTGACTTTAAAAAATCAGCTATACCGTACATCTTCAACTTGAGATGGTGTGTTAGTATGGCTCAGAAAGAAGGAGTTATATAGAATTTTTTGCTTTTAAATTCCAGGGATGAAAGGAGAGAATTCATTCAGTCAAAGTATGTTCGAAGGGCTTTCGTTCAACCAACAGCAGCAGCACCAGAAGAACTCCAGATCCAGCTGCGTGAAGTCATTAATAATAATGATCTATATGGACTGCTTCGTGTCTACTTCCAGGCAAGTGCTTTGTATCCATGTTTCATGCTGTTTATGAAAGAATGAACATGTTATGATATGACTCTGTCTAGTAAGTTTGTGTCTGAAAGAATAGGATCACATCAGGGCACAATACCAGTAAAATTTAATTGGATATGTTTGTATCCCATCATGAAATGAAACATAAGAATATTAGAATCTTGAAATAGAACATACTGTATATTATATTAAAATTTTCTATTGACATTGGGAGGTTAAAGTGAGAGGAATAATATGAATGACTTCAATAAAACTGAAGTGAATATCACTTTTTTATTTGGCTCTTTCAAAACTTTACCCCTCACTTTGTCCTTTTCCTTTTCCTTTTAGGGTGGAGATTTAGGGCTACCGTTAACACCTCTTGGAGAATGTGCACTTCATGTAGCAATCTATCAAGAGAATGGTGCCTCACTTCCACTGGTGGACTTCTTGGTTCAAAACAGTCACTCACTGGACCGCCAGACCCTGGAGGGCAACACACCTCTGCACTATTGTGTCATCTCCAACAAGCCAGAGTGCATGAGGTTATTGCTCAGAGTGGGTGCCAACCCCAGCATAGACAATAACAATGGCAAGACTCCTTTGGACATTGCAAATGAACGAAATTGCAGGCTCTTGGAAGATATGGTATGCTAATTTCCTTAGCCTTCAAATTATTGCTTAATTTTTTCCCCTGCTACTACTTTAATTTTCAGTGGGAAAACAACCATTCTTGTGTTTCCTGCAAACTTTAATAATATATGTTTACATTATTTAACCTCTTGGGTAGAGTTGATTACTTTTATTTTATTACTAGTGTCATTTTGATTTCATGGTCTGCTTGACCCGAACTTTCATAGGATAGCTCCATTTTATTAAGTGGTAATATTAACAACGTACAGGTATCCCTTGTTTAACGATAGGGTTGCATGCCTGAAAACCCTAATATTAAACGAAATTATTACCGATCAAGGGGTAACAGCAAATCACAGAGGTAAACAACAGGTTCAAACGACAAGGTTGTAAACTCTGAGTACAGTACTGTACTCCCAAATACAGTAATAATAATAATAATAGACGAGTTCGTTATAAATAGTTGAGAAGTAAACAATTGATTTATTAACACCAAACTTCTATATAAATGATATGGTTCAGAGTTAAATGATTAAGTGAGCAAAATGAGCCTAATTTCAAATTGCATACGTCGAAAATTAAAAAAATTGCTATTATGAACACTAAAATGGATACATAGCTTATCATTAAATACAATTCGTAGCACATAGTTTATGTACAAAAAATAGCTCCTTCCACACTTAAACCATCCTCTGGGTGACATGACACAGCTCAGCTGGGCAGTCACCCAGCTGACTCTGAGACGTGTGTGTGTGTGTGCATGCGCATGCCAGCCAACCATATCGGGGGAAGGGACCGTGGCTGGCTGGCAAGTCAGCGACACAGTTACAGCCTACTGCCTCCACACATATGTTCACTTCACTTACACACCTGCCCATACTCTTTATTTTATAATCTTATAATATGTTTTCTTTATTTCTAAGCCACAGTTGAGTAGAGGTAATCCCCACATTATAAAAACTCAGGTTGTGGAAATTTGCCCATACGGAATTTGTAAATTCTGACCACTACAGTATACAGTATTCGGGATACAGCCCGTAAATTCAACCTTACGGAAATGGAGTAAATTTTGAAAAATGTCAACACAAAAAAACGCTACATACAAAAAAAAGAATAATTCGCTAATATTATTATTTATTTGGTGTGAATTTCTTGCTGTTTGTTACCACCAAGCATGAGTATGCAGCACACCCACGCATTTGGACTCAGTTTGTTTATATCACCCAGCTTGTACGCTTGAACTCTCGACCCCGAGCTCTTAGATTTAACACTTATATGCATATATTATTCAAAACTGTCCATTCTATTACCCTAATTGAAAATGAGTGGAAAAAGGCCATCAAGTGCAAATGAAAGCAGTAGTGCTAAAAGAGCTTGTAAAGGAATTATGTTGGATATAAAACTTAATGTTTTTGGAGTTTGATGCGGGAGAAAAGCTCAGCCTGATTGCAAAAAACATTAGGACTTGGTATGTCTCCCAGTAACCCCATTACACCACCTCACCTTATGCAGCACTCAACTTTTATAGTTTCATTACATGTAACTTTGGGAACATACCATCTCGCAGGCCACCTCATCCCCATTTTTTTTCCCATTCCCAGGGAGTCGAGCTATCGCAAAATAAAATTTTGATGTAACATTAAGTGTGAAAGGGTATCAAAATTTTTGTGTTGCTAACCGAATGAACATCAAATGAATTTATCACTTGAAGAGGGATGCCTGTAATGGAAGAATCTATGTGTGATTTTTTTTTTTTTTTTTTTTTTTTTACGGGAATTAGCCCACCCAGGTACAGGTCGAACGGCCCACAAGGGGGCCGAGTGGGCAAAAAAATAAGAACAGCAAGAAATTAAAAATAGAGAAGCAAAAGGTTATACATACTGTGTTTATTTACACCACGAAGATGCCGGAAAACTAGCCTTTTAAAGTGAGACAGATTGTATAAGTATGGAAACAGAAGAAGTTACTGACATTATTCCTTTTTCTGTTATCCTTTTTGTTAATCTATCATTCTGTTTTCATCCATAATTATTACACCCTTTTCTGGGTATTTGTAGGGATGTTCTTTCAGTATGGCTGCAAATATAAAATTCTGCAATTGCAATTATCGTAATTACTTATACAGTACTGTATTCAGCAACCATGACACGTGGGCCATCTGCTCTTTGATATCACTCAGTACAGTCCAACACCACTACAACCTAGCTAATTTATTTTTAAACTTTAAGAGGTTAATATTTTACTGCAACACTAATAATGTCAATAACTGGCCAATTTTTATAGAAAATTGATGAGAATATTCACCAGCTGATCACGTGGACACAGGCCATATCACGTGTTTTTGACTTGGTTATTTTCAAGACATTATGGATGGACGATAATGCATCGTGTATAGTAAACATGTATTGAATTGAATTGAATTGAAATATTTTATTTAATGTTTTGAAATTCTTCTTTTTCTCACTGGTCATTTTTCTTAAGAGACACCTTAGAAATTTTTTATGTTATATTTTTCATTAAATACGTTTGTAATAGTTTACTAAATAAATATCAAACAAAGAGAATTGATATGCTGATGAAAACAGTTTCCCTGCCCTCATGAGCTGGCACATTGTCTGTTAGCAGAAATTCCAGGCCCAGCACCACGCTGCTCTAGCATGACATCAGTGAGAAAAAGTGTTGTGTTTATGTACAGAGATTATGCATAATACTATGAATTTAAATTAAATGAAATTTTTTCATAAATAAAACTGACCTTAAAGTTTTATAGAATTTTTTTTAGATTATTCGCCAGCTGACACATGGACGCTATGGCCGTATCATGTGTTCTGGCTCAGTTACTCTCAAGACATAATGGATATACCATTGACTCATTGACACCAGAAGCATTTTTTCCTCCTATCAGCCTGTCTAATAACTCAGTTATCTTCTCTGATGTCATTCCTTTCTTTTTTCTTTGAAATTTTGTGCCACACACTTTATTTTCACTAACTTTTGCTTTGGAGCCATAATCAAGTGTGGGTGATTTTACATTGAAAATTTTAAGAATCAAATCGTCAAATGTAAGTGACTAAAGTTACTAAACTCGTATGACTAAACAATAACTGCCACAATAGCTTCCTGCAGTTTTCAAATGGTGGGAAATGATATGCAGTATACTATATGTTGCGTTGTCAAAATAAGAAAAACAATTGAGATCCTGCAGTTGTGTAAATAAGGCAGAAAGTCAATCAGATCAGCAACCTGGGATTTGGTCACAATTTTTTTAATGCCTTATGGCAGCAGGGTCTACCATTAGACAACGCATAATGCTTCCAATATCTTTCCAGGCGGTAGTATCTCCATTTCATGGTTCCCTACTACCAACAGGTTACTGTACAGTACAAGTATTAATATTTAACATTTTATTACCTCTTGAGAATAGTCAAAGAGATGAATATGAAATATGCAAATAATAAGGATTATTGTGTATTGTTCAGCAGTATTTGCTCCTATATCCTCCTCAAAGTGAATTAGGGAAAACTTTATTTGCTCATAATCAGTCTAGCTTTTCTTCCCTTTCCTCCACACTTGCAATCTTTTCCCCACTTGGTTTAGGGTGGTCTGGAGATGCCTCTCATTGTATTCCAGTGAAGATGAAGCAAAAGTATCTGTTGTCTCCTAAGAGCTCTTCACCATGCTTGAATTTGCCCTTCCAAGGCACCCTTGACCTCCTTCCCCCTCTTCAGATGGGCCTCTGATTCCCCTTGTCAAGTGCCACCCCTGCAATTGACACTTGTCGGTGACCATGTTTGACCTCTTACCAATGGCTTTGATAATGTGAAAAGCCGATATTGATATTCTGCATGTCCCCTTAGTACTGTGGTCATCACTTGTCCATGAAATTGCCAAAGTCCATGTTCCAGTGGTCCTCACTTATAGCTGTACTAAAGTGTCAGTATGTTAGTCTGCACACTGTATGGCTGCATGTGCTCTTTGTTATAGGTGGTTCCAAGAGGATGGGGGGCGGATTTGAAGGGCAATGTACACTTTCCCTTTGAGAAAAGTGGTTATCTTACCCCTCCAATAAAAATTTCTTCTTGTTTTGCAAAATAGCTTATAAAATCAACCTGCTTGTTTACCACCTTGCATTACCCAGCACTGCCCTGCCCTGCCCTGCCCTGCTCACTATCTTTCACTGTCCGCTACCCTCATTGTATTCATACTACCATACATACCACCCCCTTACTGTCCACTTCCAGCCCTATTCACCATCCCTCACTGCCAACCTCCTACCCTGCTAACCATCCCTCAATTCCCTACCCTGTCCAACACATCCTCACTTTATATTTCTTGCTTTAAGTACCACATTTATTAGGGTATATTTTACTTGTAAAAATTGTGAATTCTCAGAGTTTTGTATGTGTAAAATTCACAATTAATGGAGGAAACTCTACAATTAACATGATAAAACCAAAATACTGCTGTTCATCTTACTCTTGGTACCTCACTCCTCCAGGTAGCTCTCCTCTGAATGGGTGATCATGACAGCAGAGCCTCTTTGCCAGTGTCTCTACATACCTCAATTAATCTTATCTCTTCACCTGGTCTCTCTTTAATGGATTGTTCCACCTTTTCTTCTCTTTATGTAGGTCAGGGGCATGCAAACATTTTCCATAGAGGACCACAATAAAATCATCTGATGCATGATGGCCCACACACTCATAATATTGCTTTTTAAAGTTAAAAATTAATGATAAATTTAAAGCCCAAAAACTCAAAATGCTTTCTTACTGTGTTTGTTGACTGTGAAATGAGATGTTAATGGGATGGGTGACTTTGTACAATGCAGCAAGTACAACATTTCTGTGTGAGCAGAAAGTTGTGGATAATCTACCCCCTTGGGTGTGTGGCCTGCAGACAGGGTTCATGGTAATTTCAGAATTGAAAGACTTCGAGGACTGCAGTTTGCACAGCCCTGAATTGTAGGTGGTCACCTTATACGCAATGCGCTTGCTAAGTTGTTCATACACATGCTCTATATTAGGTTCTCCTCCTGCACCCTTCGCATGTATCCATAAAATCTCAGTGGGCCATTCTTATTCATTCTACAACTCCACAGTTTACACCCACTGTCTCTCTCCTAGTGGGAACTGCCATGTGGGGGGGGGGGGTCTCCTTCCTCCTCAAGTAGGAAAGAGCTTCCCAAACTGAAAGGGTCATCAGGGAGGGATGAGACCAAATGGTTTTCTTGAGCTGCTAGCCTTGAGAGCTGGCTAGTGGCACCTTTACTCTGGCCCAGTCTGCAAGGGTTGGAGAGTAGCTCTCCCATATGGCGACGCATAAGGCTGGGAGACGGGAATCCTGGAGGTAAAGCAATGCTCCATGCTGCGCCCTGTGGCTAGCAATACACCTTTTTGGTCCCTTATTCTAGCAAGTCGGGAGGCTTGACTTGCGGCCCAGTCAAGTCAATTGGCTGGTTAATATGTCTGGCCTCTAGGCCAGTCATTTGGCTAGGGTCAAGCAGGCGCCACAAAGTCGACACCCCATTTGGTCCCAGGTGTGTCATCAGACTTAGTGGTAACCTGCGTATACTTCTCCACTACCCCTGGGGCTATTGTGTGGCCTCCCCTTTTTGAGCTCCATGGTGGGGTGGGGAGGTGAAAGCCTAGTAATAATTATTATGGCATCCATTCATCTAAATTCTCAGCCAGACTCCAACCCTAATGACCCTGGCTCATCAAAGGATCAGTCTCCTGGAATGCCCTCTTTGGTGGCTACTCTGGAGCCTTTTGTGTTCAGTGGTGGGTGACATTCTCGCCAGTATGAAGGACGTCCTTCTCGGCAGATTGCTGTCATGAGAGAAATCCTACCTGATATCTTTCTACCTGACTCTTACGATAAATATTTAGTCTTATTTTCAATTAAGATTAATTTAAAAGACCAGAATATTTTTCAGACATACTGAGATATTGTACAAGTGCAGTATGTGGGTCTTCACCAAAAGTTGTGCCCCAAGCAAATGGGGGCCTTTTGGTGGAGGTGTTATCATCAAGATGAGTAATAAGCTTAAGACTCTTGAATGTATTGATTGAGCTACAGTGTCTTGCTCCCCATACAGCAGCATGAACCAGACCTGAGGTGTGGTGTATAGTACTCGGCTACTCCTATACTCGGAAGAAACCCTCCAGCAGGAGTTTGTGGATCAAGTGGTAATAAAGGTAGAGAAAATCAAGAAAGAGGTTGATGGAATTTTAACACGTACACCCTGTTAAGACTGTACTGTACCATGCTATCATGGGGTCAAAGCTGGTACATGGATGTGAGCTGTACTCTTCAGCCATTGATACAATACATCACTCTGGCATCCATTTAGCCATAGGCACCTTTAGATCCTCCCCAATAACAAGTCTTCTGGTGGATATGCATTGGCAGGCTCTAATGGCTCGCTGCTGGTACCAGGTACAACATCTCCCTTGATCTCCAACATGGGAGGCCATATCTGATAGACCCATGGATTGTAGGTTTACCCTTCACCCCCACATTCCCTGATCCTTTGACTTTCGTGTGTGAGAGCTGGTTAACTGATTATCACTTCCCCAACTCCTTGTCTCAACAGTGAAAGTGCCGACTGTGGCCCCTTGGGACCTACCAGAGGTGCACTTCTGTGGATACTTTTCAGGGAGCAAGGCTGATGTTAATGAGGTGATGGCCAGGATGTATATCCAGGAACATGCAACTCGGCATGATGGCTTAGTACATGTTTATACAGGTGACTCCAAATCCAACACTGGTGTTGGGTTTGGAGCCATCTTCCCTGATTTTAGCTGCAGTGGAGCACTTCCCACCTTTGCATCTACAGGTATTTTTACTGCAGAGCTCTCTGCTATACCTCTACCCCTTAAATAAATCGGCACACACAAGTGATAGCAGGCACGTTCGTGCCCTTGTGAGAGTTTGAACGCTCGTGACAGCGTACAGCGAATGAGGATGTGCCAAGTCCGTAGACTTGCATGGTTAATTAGAGTGCGCCAAGTCCATAGACTTGCATCGTTTTCCATCGTAAATAAAATTGTTAACTAATGCCTTCCTAAAGAAACTATCGACATGGGACTAGGTTTGTTCCACTCTACGAATTTTTTTGCGATTTTTCCACCAAGTTTGATGAAAAACGATTGTGCCGTTTCGGCTGCCCAGAACAGACACACACACACACACACAAACAGACACACGCCTAGTCCTATAGTATCTTAGATAAAGATGGGCATTTTACTAATTTTAGTGATTCCAAAGCAGCACTGTCTTCTCTGGAATTTCTAAACCCATCCACCCTCTCAATTTACATATTTTTAACCGGCTAATGGTCCTCTGTTGGCAGGTCCATAATGTGGATTTCTGTTGGGTTCCTGCCCGTGTGTCTATATGAGGTAACGAGAGGGCTGACAAGGTGGTCAAGTCTGCTGCCTCTTGTCATGCCCCTTTATGCTCCCTTCCTCACGGAGATTTCTTCCCAGCAGTCAGGTCAGCCATCCAGACCTACAGGTAACTACAATGGGACAATTTATGTTTCCAACAAGATGCGAGAGATTACATAAAAGATCTATCCGTGGGAATATCTTTGGATGCTCCGCCGCTGTGATACTGCCCTCACTCGTCTACGTATTTGACACACTCACTTCACCCATACTGTCCTTATGGCCCAATTGTGATGACTGCCTGGTGCCACTGACTGTGAAACACTTGCTGCTGGTAGTGTGTCCCAGTCATGGGGACTTGAGTTGTTTTCTGGCCGAGTGCCGGCAGGAGGATGGTTCCTTCTCCATCTCAAAGGTGTTCATTGAGAGAAGTTAAGCACCTGATGGTGGACTTTTAAAATTTTATTTGCAATAAAGGTACTTAGCTGCTTATAATGTAAAATAAATACAGGATTTTATATTTACATTTTTTTATTGAAACTTAATAGGATTTTATTTTATTAATATCATGATTTTAAACTTTAAGTTTCATTTTTGTGTCAAATGGGCACAGGCTGCAATGCCAGATATTTTACACAATCAATCAACCCACTATCTTCATTGCTGTTCTAAACACTCCATACACTTCACTGCTTCTTACCCTGTCCATTTTGGAAACTCCTAGATCAGCCTTCTGGGAACTCATATTTGTTGCCTGAATTTTATAGCATTCTGCTCCATTTCCAAGTAGAAAAACCAAAACTCTACAATTAATAGGAGAAAATATGTGTTCAGATTCATCATCACCACCATTTTACGGCCATTTTTCACAGTTGCAAAGGTTAATTATTTATATTTTTATTCGGCCTTTTCCATTCCTCTTATCCCCCTTTTGCCCATCATCAGTCTTTCACTCTTCCGCACAAACCTTACTATCTTATGGATTTGCCCTTGACAAAACCAGTAAATCTATGAATTATTATTACTGATTATGGTAGCCTGGAATAGTGACTCGGTAGTACAGTGCCTTCAGTGCATAATATTCCGTGTCTTGTTTGTACTGTACTGTATATTTTTCTTGCTGGAATTTACTTTTGGCAGTAGAAACCTATTACAGTGGTGTTGGTACACATATACAGAAAACTTTTCAGCCTCACATTAGATGCCCTTGTATACATATTCATCCCTTCCACGGAAAATTCCTGGTTCTGCTCTACAATCATGTACTTGTACAGTATTACAGAAATAGCAAACTTTGTTCTCAAGGTGTGCAGTATTTGTGTAAGTGTAATACAGTATCCTTTGCTTCCTAGGCATATAAATGATATGCAAAGGAGTTTTTAAATTTCTTTTAATTAATTTAATATTTTATTGAATTATAAAGTTTGTTGAGTAATTTATTAAGCTGCTTCCACCTTTTAGGGAGAAGTATGGGTATGGGTATGTTACACTTTGATATATACGCATGTACTTTCCAAATAGTTTGCACTATAATTTTTGGTCCCTGCCATATAAAATGGTGAGCATTTAGTGTTACTTTTGTCCATCTATTTGTCCGAACGAACAACATTCATCTACATTCAGTTGCTTGAAAAATGCTTGGCAGATGGAAGTGAAATGTGGTATGCAGCTTCATATCAATAATGTCTGTGTTGTTGCCATTAATCTGATTTTGTCTGCCTTGATATAGAAACCTTTGGGGTGGCATACATCTCCTTCAGTGATAGCCTAATTTTCAAAATTCATACAAAATGAAGACTTTTGTTAATAAAGAGTTTAAAGGAAATGCAAGTGGAGAGGGATGGTGGGGTCAGTGTTTTTCCATCTTTAATTTTTTTAAACCACCGATATTTTCCCCATTGTTGGTTACCACATTTCCATAAATTTGCTTTTCATTGTGATATTGTGATAGTGCTCAAGTTTGTAAACCCTCATATATTTCACACTACTTTGTCAGACATTGCATATACCTGTACAGTATCTATGTTGTACACCCATAAATGCAGTTGCACCAGCATCACTTCCAAGGCTCATGCACTTATTTATAATTGCATTAGCAGTCTTTTCCCAAGCATGGGGTGATGTCCCAATTGGGTCATGGGCAAATTAATTTTCCAAAAAATCTTTCTTTCTTAAAAGTTTTAATTCGATTTTATTGTATTCTGGATTTAAGATAGTTGGTGAAAAACCTTGTTAAGTGAAAAAAAAATCCCGGTTATATGAAGTTATATGAATTGTTAAGTTCTCTCTGACTAACCTTGTTTTTTTTTTGTTTTTTTTTTCAGCTGAGTCAAGCACAGCAACAAAAGAAGTCCATGTTTGAGAATGTGGAGTATGAATGGAACCTCTCTGATGATAACCTGACTGATATGTCAGATGATGATGAAATTTTCAAGGTTAGTTTAAAAAAACAACAACATTATTTGATGCTTACATATTAATATTTAAGTTGAACTTTAATCTGTTTATTAATATTATCTATATATAAAATGTATTTCTCTCCCATTCTTATGTGGGGTACATAAAGTGATGCAGAAACCTTTAAAGAAAGAAGAGAGTGTAACATGAATATGTACCATAGTGTACTGCAGATAATGACAGGAAGGAGCTAAGATAGTGTTTATAAATACATAGATACAGTTCAGTATCTGCTTCCTCCTACCTATTGCACACTCAGTATACATAGAGAATCGTTAGCTTTCACACTGAATCGCAACACTTTGTGTTGATATAATGTGTATACTGTACTTAGTCAACAACAGTGGTATGTCTGCCATATTTGAAGTATAATGTAGTACGTTGAAAAAATATTATTATTTTCATGTGGATTAATTCTTGCTCACTACCTATACTTATTAATTCTGTCACAAAGCTTTTTATTTTTTCCATACAAGAGTTTTGAGGAACACACCAGTGATTCTGTCCCTCCATTCATCAGTGTAAAATTTGGTTTGCATTTAGCAACTTACCATAGACTGTGGATTGATTTTAATTTTTGTGTAAAACTTATTGCTAGCACAAGTAAGTTTAGAGCTGTGGCCTTCTTCAGCAATCAAGGATGAACTATTTCAAAGGGTTTGATTAAGATTAAAACTTTTTGATAGTAAATGGAAATGGAAGTATATAAACATAAGAATAATTAATTATAGAAATAGGTGGAAAGGAAATTGACTTGGTACATGCTATAGGGAATGGGAAATCAGTAATAAATGTTTATTTTATTTTCAAGATTTATTGATTATTACTTGAAAAAAAGGGCTTAAGACACTACCAGTTGGTGAGTTGTTAATGCAAATAATCAAATAATAGGAATTGATTATTGATTTGTGTGTGTATGTGTGTTCACACATGCAGACCCCAATTTAAGAGACAGTTACATTCCTGAAAAACCTTTAATTTCTTTTTTTTTGTAATCTGATGCACATTTTCCCGCTGACTCCCATTATATAATTAGATACATTTTTTTACAAAAAAAAACATGCTTCATCCTTTATTTTCATGGTATGAATGCTGCAGTCACAGACTCTTGAGTACTGTAGTGTAATGACAGACTTCAAGGAGTCCTGGTTCCTACCTCGTGTACTCTGTATTCTCGTTCAATGTTGATCTTGTTTTACGTTCACAATGCCCCCAAACAGACACAAATGTGATACACCTGAGTTTAACAGCAGTAAAAGGAAACATAAAATGATAACATTAAAAAAAAAATGGAAACTGTAAAAACAGTATCAAAGACAGTCTGTGAACAAAGTGCCTGGATAACGTGTTTTAAAATGGTTCAAAAAAAGAAATGTCAGCAAAGATGTGAAAAATGTTACATACAATGAACGGTTCACCAGCCAGCTGGCTAGGTGACCATGGCTGGATTAGAAGTTGTCTGAATAATGATGCAAATCATTGAAATTTTTTTTACAAAATTTGAGAAAAATATCCTTGCGGGTCATTTGTTATTGTTATGGAGTGACACGATATGGACCACATGGTCCTGCCAGCCCACATCACAACAACACAGCCTATAGGCGAGGTCGAGAGTGGACGAGTTGTTTTAATGTTATTAACCGTTTCCCTCTTCCCACTTCAGCCAAATGGCATTTCTACGCCTGAGAAAGTAGGCAGAAGTCGTCCTGTCAGCTTACCAGGATCTAGCTCACCAGTGTGCCAGCGCAGTGCTGAACACCACAGCTCAACTGATGAACGAGGTTTGGGAGAATACCGAGGCAGTGAACATCGCAGTTCTTCTACACGTTGGCCTAGAGGCCAGCCGCCTCCTCCCCCACCAGTAACGAGCAAACCTGCTTGTAAGTGACTGTACCATCTCTGATGATGCTCGTGTTTGTGTGATCACTTGTGTAAATAATATCCTTTTTCAGACATTATATAATTTGTGTTTTGTTTTTTTTGTGACGACTGTACCTTCATAAATTATATTGATTTATATTGGTATTCTGCTGAAATGCAGGTAATTGGCTAATCATGTTGACTGGTATTTTAAAAGAGTAACGGCCAGTGTTATTTAAGCATTAGAAGATAAAATGTCCTTACTTAATGAGATATGATGAAGCAAGAGGTTTTGTAAATTATGAGACTTGTTTAATACTTTTATCACAGGAACTTTGATTAATTTTTTAATACTGTGTTCATAATATCAGGAGGGGGAAACTTGGATGTCTTGCATTTTTAAGTGATTAAACATTGCAGTAACATGTATAAAGTGTTGTGTTGCTGCAATGCTGGTGTGTAAGGCAGTGGGTACATTTGGAATATCTAAAAGTAAGACAGCAAATTCAGTTTTGGTGTAAAAAAAAAAAGGAAACTGCATTTAAACCTTCTCTTATTCTTCTTCACTAAGTTTAAACAAATAGCAACAAACGTGTATTGTAGGATTTATCATGCAGGTATTGTATAGGTACTGAAGCAGATGGGAGGGGGAAGTGGCATTGGTAATGTGGCTCCACCCGGGATCTATTCGATTCTACAGTTTTATGCAGTCAGTCCCTCCCCATGCCATAAGATGTGTGCCTCCCCCCTCCTATGACAGACATATTTGTATGGCATGTGCTACACCAATTAGTTTTGTTTCTCCTTGGATGAAATACCTTGGCTCAGGTCAAGTGATTACTTCTTAGTCACAGGGACATTGCTGTTTTGACATTTCTTTATTACTGTTTCCCCCTTCATCCCTAGAGTTCTCATAAATATAATTAACCACCTTATACTTTCCCTCCTGTACAATGCTGACTCATTACTTTTTTTTCTTCACATTTTCATCATGCCATTGCAACAAACAGTTACCATGACATACAGTATTATTTTCCTTTCCTGTTATGTAACTGTCTGTCTGTCCATCTGTCACAGTTTCATTTCTTTGGGATATCTTCTGTCATAAAGGATGAATCTCAACGAAACTTGGTACAGTATACAGGTTTGTCTTAGAGAAGTTATCTATTAATATATTGGTCAGTCTGTCGAAAGTCAAGGTTATTGACCTTTCATTGTTGATTGTCATGACTCTGCCACAGCCCTGTGTAGTGGCATAGTGTTTCACATGAGTTTTAGCTCCTGCAGATGATGCCAGTTTCGTGAGCCTTGATTGCCACACTGGCATGCAGAATCCTTCACAATGTTGCGAACATTGTTGAGCTTTGACACTAGAGTGAAGTTGATGGACAATTGAATTTTGGGGTAAAAGTACGGTATTGTGATTGTTTGAAAAAACTGGCATGATATAAAGAGACAGATAAGAGATTTTATCAAGATGTAGTTTCTTGGAAGCATAAAGAATGCCTGCTACATTAAATGTATTCCCTTAATTAGAGTTATATTTACAATATTAGGGAGAAGGTAGAAGAGATTAAGATACTTCAAGTTGTGTAAAGAGAATAATAAGAGGATTTGTGGAATGTCACGTGTGTGAATGAAATCTTTACCTTAAAAGTGTAGGTCAACAGGAATGGATTATTTTAGAGGCTTAAGTACTGAAATTTATAATGTGGAGAATATGGATGGTAAGAGATTAACCTTTTCTTTTATGTCCTAATAATTCATTCAATGAGGTATTACTGTTGTGGTACAAATGTCAACTCAACCATGCAGTAAGGCAGGTGTTTAAGACCGATATTACTTAAACACATGTCGTAAATGAATATAAAGTCATACATCATGTAAACAAAAACAGAGGTAGAGGAAGACCAAAAATAAACTGAAATGACACACTGAGGAGGCACTTTATAATGTACAAAAGAAGTACAGGGGTATGCCTCTGGAGGAATATTCAGCAATATGTTATGGAGGGGATTGTGTGAGTTTCCTGTGCTCTTTTTCCTTATCAACCAGAGTTCTCAAAATCAAACCTAAATTATGTTTTAAACTGGATGACCCCAAAATGCATGACTAAAATTAAGTGTCAGAATTGATCGTACTGTAAGTCATTAAATCCTCTACTTGTGAGATGATCAACCTTCCATGTGTGAGTCAGTAACTCCTCCATGTGAGTCAGTAACTCCTCCATGTGAGTCAGTAACTCCTCCATGTGAGTCAGTAACTCCTCCATGTGAGTCAGTAACTCTTTCTTGTGTGAGTCAGTAACTCCTCCTTGTGTGAGTCAGTAACTCCTCCATGTGTGAGTTAGTAACTCCTTGTGTGAGTCAGTAACTCCTCCATGTGTGAGTCAGTAACTCCTCCATGTGTGAGTTAGTAACTCCTTGTGTGAGTCAGTAACTCCTCCTTGTGTGAGTCAGTAACTCCTCCATGTGTGAGTCAGTAACTCCTCCATGTGTGAGTCAGTAACTCCTCCTTGTGAGAGTCAGTAACTCCTCCATGTGTGAGTCAGTAACTCCTCCTTGTGAGTCAGTAACTCCTCCATGTGTGAGTTAGTAACTCCTTGTGTGAGTCCTCCTTGTGTGAGTCAGTGTGTGAGTCAGTAACTCCTCCATGTGTGTGAGTCAGTAACTCCTCCTTGTGAGAGTCAGTAACCCTCCATGTGTGAGTCAGTAACTCCTCCTCAGTGAGTCAATGCTCCTCCCATGTGTGAGTCAAACTTCCTGTGTGTGAGTCAGTAACTCCCTCCACATATGAATCAGTAGCTCCTCCATATGAATCAGTTACTCTTCCTTGTGAGAGTCAGTAACTCCTCCACATATGAATCAGTAACTCCTTGTGAGTCAGTAACTCCTCCATGTGTGAGTCACTCCTCCATGAGTCAGTAACCTCCATGTGAGTCAGTAACTCTTTCTTGTGTGAGTCAGTAACTCTTTCTCCTCTCCTTGTTGTGAGTCAGTAACTCCTCCTATGTGAGTCAGTAACTCCTCCTATGTGAGTCAGTAACTCCTCCTTGTGTGAGTCAGTAACTCCTCCTTGTGTGAGTCAGTTACTCCTCCTGTGTGAGTCAGCAACTCCTCCTTGTTTGAGTCAGTAACTCCTCCTATGTGAGTCAGTAACTCCTCCTATGTGAGTCAGTAACTCCTCCTTGTGTGAGTCAGTAACTCCTCCTTGTGTGAGTCAGTAACTCCTCCTTGTGTGAGTCAGTAACTCCTCCTTGTGTGAGTCAGTAACTCCTCCTTGTGTGAGTCAGTTACTCCTCCTGTGTGAGTCAGTAACTCCCCCATTCTTGTGGTCACATGCATTCCCAAGGATTCTAATGTCTATTTACTTCTTACAATATCTGGGTGTGTTGGTGTTATCTGTTCTTGCAATAGAACCTTTCTAAAAATATTTGTAGATATGTAATTAAGTTTTGTAGATTTAATGCCAGATCATAAACTGGTTATTTTGGGTTATCAGTGCATAAATGGGTTGACTCTCTCTTGAGTTATTAAGACGGCTGCCGTAAGAACTTCATCTTACAATACATACTGTGACAAATGAGTTTGTTCATAGACATAAATAAATCTGCCTGTTGATGAATAAATTAATTTGGATGATTTCTTTCTTATAATCAAAAGAAAAGAATTCTGAAGTATGAAAAATATTTAGTTTAATTTGATTTTCTCCCAAACATAACTACTGATACATTCTAGGCCTCTTCCAAATGCATTTCCAGGAAAATGTATAAAATGGACTCAACTCATGCATATCTGCTGACTTACACACACACACACACTAGCACAGCACAGGAGCTTCAATTTTAAGTAAGGTCAAAGATGAAGAATATTTAGTAAGGCAGCAGTCTAGAAGCTTTTTTGGTGTGGCCACCATCTTAGACAAAACCTTCTTAGGCAGTGGGCGGTGCAGTGATATGTGATGAAAAAGAATAAGATCAGAAAAGGAAGGGACTATTCCCTTTATTAGATAAGACTCTTCATATATATATATATATATATATATATATATATATATATATATATATATATATATATATATATATATATATATATATATATATATATATATATATATATATATATATATATATATATATATATATATATATATATATATATATATAATAAGATGGAAACAACGTGTGATTTTATCAAGATTTATCTTATCGTTGTCATTGTGGATTTACATGATATATATATATATATATTATACTGTAGGTGATTTTAGAAGCAAGAGATAATTTTTCATTAATTTCATAGGTTGTAACTTGAATAAGAAATAACCTGTACATTTTTATTTTTTTTAAATAGGCATATTAGTGAATGGAAGGGGATTCATACTTTAGCAAATTATCAATAAGTTAGAAGACACATCCAATCTGTAAAACTAAATGTATTTCTGGAGCAGATCCAGGAATATCAAAAGGGGTCAGGGGGTCCAAGAAGTTGTGGAGGTGGGGGAATTTAGCAAGCACAGCAAGCCCATCCAAATAAGGGATTTATTTTATTTATTTTTTTTCTGTGGGGGGGGGGGGCTGGCTCTGTAAGCCCCCCATAATTTTTTGGGAGATGTGACCAATATCATGGGTATTTTGAGGCCAATTTGAAGCCATGTGCACATGATATTAGGAGATATTCTGAAGTCAAAAGTAATTAGCTCTTACTATACCAAAATGCCTGCGTACAATACTGATTTAAAGAAAAAGTATTGGAATTTTCTGGTGAAGAGGGGGGTGTGGATCCTCCTGGATTCGCCCTTTATTTATATGTAGGCATCTATTATATGGCTATTGTGAGATGATAGGGATTTTTTTTAAGTAAATGTACATAGCTAACTTTATGCTGAAGGTCAACTGCAAACATTTTACAGAAATAATGTTTTATGTTCTTCTCTAACAGTTACACTTACTCACTTGTACTCGCAGCTTTCACTTAGGCATATACAGTAATACCCAGATTTACGCGGTCAATTGAACCCACAGAGTAGCACGTAAAACGAGAAACACGTAAATGGAATAACAGAACATATGGGATTAATTGAAATCGAGACTGGGCCGACTCCCAAACTCCACTTTTTCCGACACAAAACTGACATAATACCTAGTTGTAGTAAAAATAACATCTTAATTTTATGTTGGTATGCACACACAATTAATATTTAAGAGAAATACAGTCGTCATGTTAATGTCCATTCAAATAATGGACTCAACTCCCCCCCCCCCTCTTCCCAGCTCACTAGCTCCTACCTCTCTGAGAAATGTTTGGGTGAAAACACTAGATTTTAACGTTTAGTAATAAATAATACCTCAGACTAAAGTTAGGATAATATAATTGACATTGCTGGATTCCTTGCAAGGCCAGGAATATTTTGAATATAAACGTCATATATTTTGCACAAAAGATAAAATTTTGGCTTTGTAATCAAAATTCTTAAATTAGATCTAAAATTTGTATGTCTAATGCAAATTCCATGATGTTTATATTTAAAATAATCAAAATCTTATAAGAATTCCAACAATGTAAATTATATTCTGGCTGGGAAATTTGTATGAATTTTATGAGCTAAAACAAATATCTTCAGTAAATAAACAAATTATTATTCACCCAGACACTATCTGTCAATCAAAATACCCCACCTCTGCTCCCACCCCCTCTTCCCACGCTCGCTGGGTCCCTCCCTCCCTCCCTACCCCCCACCCCCCACCTTCCCTCCCTACCAGAGAAATGTTTGGGAGAAAACAGTATATTTACATTTTTCGTAATAAATAATACCTCAGACTAAAGTTAGGATAATATAATTGACATTTCTGGATTCCTTGCAGGTCAGGGAATATTTTGAATATGAACTTCATATATTTTGCACAAAAGATAAAATATTTGCTTATTTTCATGATCTCCTTAAATTACATCTAAAATTTGTATGTCTAATGCAAATGTTAAGATGTTTATATTTAAAATGATCACCATCTTGTAAGGATTCCAGCAATGTAAATTATATATTTATGAGCTAAAAACATATATATCTTCAGTAAATAAACAAATTATACTTCAACCGCGTAAATGAGTAAATTCACCGTGTAAATCAGGCATCCCGGTTCTGGCAAGGTACCGCGTAAATGCGTAAATGACCAAACGCGTAAACGAGAACCCCGTAAATCAACTGTATATCTATCTTTGGATTCCCAATACCTTCTTTAGTTATACTCAACCTATTCCTTGTATTATCCACTGCCCCTTATTATACCTTCTTCAGTTATAGTCTACCTACTTTTATTATCCAATGGTCACTTGTATTTTCTTTACTTGTTCTTTTATCTTTTGTCTTATTATTTTGGTCCCTTATACCTTTCTCATTGATGCTCCACCTACTTACTGGGTATTATCTTGGTTTCTTATACAATATCATTACATGTCTTACATTATTATTATCCAATCCCTCTATACTGTGTTCATTATTCACAGACTTTTGTTCTGGATTCCCATTTTTTTATGTTTATTTGAGAATTTCATTATTTTTCATCCCATAAATTTCTTAACTCCACAAAAAAACATCCCTTGAAATTATTTTAATAGTCTACTCTGAGCTTGTCTAACACCTTCTTTTAACCATTGATGTCACAGTATACAGAAACTATCAGCCGATAATAAACATAAACAGGAAGTTAACTTGCAAATCAGAAATATTGTAAATTAATTTTTTCTTAGGAATGATCATACCTTAGTGACCAAGAATGAAAAGGTTCTATTGTGTATACCGACAAATTAATAATTTTGCTTTTTAAAGTGTTGATTAATAACTAAGTGTCATTTACCTTCTTGTGACCCCTAGTGCCACTTCGTAATATGACAGAGAAGAGACCAGCACCTAAACCCCCTGCTGGTGTTTCCCACAACACTTCCTTCTACCTCCCACATTATTCGAGTCATTCCCGCACGCCTTCTGACCCCATGCTGGGACCCCCAGCCTACCACCCAAGTCTGGCACACAACAACAACAATGGTGGTGGTGGGGGTGGTAGCCTTGGAGGGATGGGCCACAAGAGGAGCCCATCAACAGATTCTAGTAATAGTGTGTTCTACCCTCAACCTTCTTCTTCTTCCAACAACACCACTACTTCTTCTGGGACTACACGCTTCTCTCTCACACATAACTTGCCCCCTGAGGCTACGTCAGGTGAGGGGATCGGGTGCCTCTTGCTTCCCTCTCGCTTCTACTGCCTCTTATCTTCTTAGCTGCTTGTAGTTATGCTTTCTTAATTGAAAATATAGCCTTTCTTAGTTTACTTCTTGCAACATCTTTAGGAGATAGAGTATTATAGAAGTACCACAGTGAACACATCTTTACTGAAGATATTTAACAATCATATATTGTACTGAAAAGAATTATAACCCTCCTATATAGATATCAACTTGCAGGAGACTACCAGAACCTCTATGGAAAAAACTGAACCATATGCAGACTGGTTATGAAGGAGAAATTGAAGCTTGCAAGTGTTCTTTTTTCCTTACAGTCTCAACAGTAAACATATTGTTGATAACCTATCAAAAATAAGGTCATTGCATTGCCATACATAACAAGACTATAAGTTTCACTTCATACCAGTTGTAAATATGAAAGTATCATAACAATCATGCTACATACAGATCACAAGTAATGACACAGGGGTAACATTCTACATTCCACTGCCCATGAGAACTAGGTTAGATCCTGGTGGTAGGGGGGTTGGCTGAGTGATCTTGAGTATGCTGTGCACACACTGCCAGTATTTCATGTTGCTGTTGCAGATCACTCATCCTGCCTTGGAGGATGCTGGCCTACAGATGTAGGATATGGCAAAAAAGGTTTTTGTATGTTACCTGTAGCAAGAATGATAAGTGTTCAATTGTTGGTTAAAATGTTACTTTGACTGCTATCCTGGTGCAGTAAAAGCATTTACTAGACTTAACCAGGTTACTGCATAGTCCTTAATCTAAATTACTGCAAGACTTCAGTCAGAGATGATGTTCCTTCGCCTTCTGTTTTCCCCCTTTAACAGCGCTCACGCCAAAATCTTTGAGCACCATTTATTTTATGCCAAATTATCTAAAAGGGATTTTGTCTCGTATGAAATTCTTAAATACTGATTTATGTTTCTTTGTAGCTCCCTAGATTGTGCCTTTTAAAACACGCTGTTTAGTATCACTTCTCTCACCATAAATTCTCTGTAGTATAAATTCACTCAATTTTATTTCTTCAGAATATTAATTCACTCACCATTACTTCTACATGAAATGAGTTTACTCACTCTTATTTCTTTGTAGTATAAATTTGTTCAAAATTAATAATGTTCTATAATTCACTCCCAATTAATTCTGTTGTGTAAATTTACTTGCTATTAGTTCTATGTTGTATAGATTCACTCATTATTGTGTAGTATAAACTCGCTCCCTATTAGTTCTTGGTAATATAAATTCACTCTCCATTCTTACTTCCAATTAAAAGTCTTGAACTTAGTAAAATCATGAAATAAGAAAATAGTTAGACAAAAAAAGTTTGAAGAACACTTTTTGTCATGAGGTGAACTTCTTTAGGATCAATTTTAGTCATTAGCTGAAATATGTAGGAAAGTGTTTAGAAAAGAAGTTCATAGATATAAATACTGTACAAGTAAGACTTTAGTCACTCACTGAAATGTTTGAGGAAGGTTTTGTTGTTAGATAAAAGTTCAGGAAAGATTTTAGTCTCTTAACTAAATTGTTTGGGGAAGGTTTTAATTATGAGTTGCTATATATGTTCAGGGAAAATGATTAAGGAATATTTTAGCCACTAGTTGAGAGGCTTAGAAAATTTTTAACTCGCATGTTGAGAAGTTTGGGAAGACTTTACATGTGGCTGCACCCTTGAGGAGAGTTGAGGGAATGAGGTCTGACAAGATATTGATAAAGAACCTCTTTAGCATTTTTTAGCCAAAGTGTAGTAAAAAATTAATGCTCAAAACCACTTTTAATAGGATATGAGATGGCAGTGCTTGTGATGCTAAGTACTGTACAGGCATTCCTCAGTTTATGTAACATTCAACATATGTAAATTTGACCGGTAAGTCCCATTGAAAATACAGTAAAAAAAAACATAATTTGTACGCCTCAAATTCAAAATCCCCCATAATTCGTAATGTTTTGCTTTTACGAAATAGATATTACAAATTTCATGATACATGTACCTGTATTTTGGTCAAATTTCGAAATATGAAACATTTCAAAATATTACGTTATATATAATATATATTATATTAAATTTTTCATAATATTTGGTAAAATTTCAGATTATGATAGACATTTACAAATATGTATGATGCACATGTCACCATGGGATGCAACCACTCGCCACAGTGTAAACTAGTACAGTATACATGTGTCGGACCTGTCAGTCAGGGTCATTTCACATTGGTCAGTTGTGGAGTGCACATCTACGGTCTACCACGCAAGCTTTTCCACTTGTTTTTCCATCATTGCTTAGTGTTTGAGCCATTGTGTCTGATAACCCTGAACCAAGCACCTCAAAATGAGCCTCTCAGAAAAAGCTGTCAAGTCAAGAGGCAAATACAAGAGCCTAAGCATCCAATTTTGATTGGGGCAATTAAGGGAAAAGTACCAGTTTTTTCCCACCTCAGTAGGTGTCTCTCATATTTTGTAAAATCTTATAATTCATAAGGGCTAGAACCCGTATTATTTCGAATATGGGGTTTTTTACTGTAATGAAAATGTCTGACATTCATTGGTTTTCTACATTGTGTTACGTTTGGGCAAACTCCGGTATTAGTTGTGGTCATGTAGTATTGTAACATGCTACCTCTGCCGTCCTTTCAAATTAGCAAGTACAGTACTGTACTCTAATTGATCATTTAATCATTTCTTGATACAGTAGTTTATTTTATTTCAATTCAACATATACAGAACATAATATGTTCAGTAGGCAGGCTACCCACTTAATGTTACAGGTTGGACCCCGCTAATCTAGGATTTGATAGTCCTGCAGTTTCGATGGTTCGGGACGGTGTTTGAATCTGGCTGTCTTTAGATTCCAAGGCCTATAATATGCAATTTTCTCTTTGCTTTTTCTGCTAATCTACTTACTTCTGTGTCACAGTACTCTGTCATAAAGAGGGTCAGTAAGTCTGGGCTAAATTTGTTCTGATGTAAGTTGTATTGGTACCAGTAATAGTACATTTATGCATTAATTTACCTTTTTTAACCTGGGCTTCGATGGTTCGGAATTTTCACTAATCCGTAACCGGTCTGGTCCCAAGCTTCCCGGATTAGCGAGGTCCAAACTATACTGAGTAAAGTCGGATTTACTTAAAGTTTGAGTTACATAATGGTTCCGGAAACATAACGCTTATGTAAGTTGAGGAGTGTCTGTACTGTACATCATAATCATTTAAATTCTTAGGATAGGTCATAACGTCTTCTGTATAATACTGTTAAAGCGATAGCCAAGATATGTTGAGTTGGTAAATGCAGAGTTCCACTCACTCACCTTGTTGGTAACTAACTCTCACTACAGGAGTAGTCTTTTTTATTTATGAATCGGAGTGCTTGACACTGATGGGGAGAACAAAGACGAAATTAAAGGCAAAGTGGAATAGATAAGTTAAACTACAAAGAAGATTAATAAAATATATAGCTATGATGACTTTGCCAAGTGGCAATTATGCTTCTGGTGAGATCAGAAAATCCTCAACAATTTTGTTGATAAAGAGATACATGCATACAGTATATGAGTATATGCAATATCAAATACCTGGCTACACTTTCTTCATCATATAGGTGAGGACAAACAAATAGAGAACTATAACGAATATTATCCTCAACAAAGGCTCAAGCTTACTTTATTTTCTAGTGATGCCATATTTTATGTCAAATGAGCCATGCTGGCACAATGGTGATGCTCAGCTTTCCATTTTTTTATAAGAATTACAACTTTAGATATAAATAATTGTGAATGAATTAACCACTACAGTTGTTATAACAAAACTAAAATTTGTTTTAAAATCGGCACTACTCTGGAATTCCACTCGGACCTATCACTTTATACCTCACTTTTCTTCATACTTATATATTATTCTGTCACATCATCTAACTTATTCTAGAGTAGTCTCCTCAGAACGCTGCCTTTCTTAACTCATCAGAAGTGTCAACACTTGTGATACTTGCGTCACTGATTCTGTAACTCCTTAATATTTTAAAAATGCTTTTATATTTGTGCGCTTACTATTAATGCATCGATTGTCAATGCATGCCCTTACCCTATACGTTTTCTACATATGTATTATGTATTACATGAATTTGAAGAATAGTCTTGAACTTGGATTGCAACAAAGTATAAACTGATAAGTATAATATTGTATACAGTTTGATTTCTTCAGTTATAATTTTAGTAAATGTTATTATGTAACATTATTGTGGTAGTGTACCTGTTAAAGAAATTATGAGAATTATGTAAAGTTTACTTTTTTTTTTTTTATAAGTGTGATCATAAATGAAGTAATAACTTTTTTTTTTCATTATGTGAATGTAAACGTTTTACAACTAATAATATTCCAGGTAGTACAAGTGATGGAAGACCTCTGGACACTGACACTTCACCATCATCGTCTCCCCAAGAATCTCCCAACACCTTCATTAATGGCCGATCAACTGAGTCTCTGTCTTCTCTGGTGTCTGATGATCCTCGGCCACCTCCTAGAAGGGTGAGGGAAATTTGCAAGGGGTTTACTTGGTTTGTCTTTACAGAATTTGTAGGAATAGACATGAGTTCCTTGGGTCAGACATGAGTTTAGAAAATATCTGTTATGTAGATCACTATGCACGTCCCAGAACCCCGTCCACTGCATGGGCTCTCCATCAAGTTTAGGCACTGACAAGTGTGGTAGTTTAATTACATTGTTAGTGGATTGTGATTTAATTTGGGCTGGAGTGATTTCACATTCTCACCTCTTTACTTTGTAATTCTAATAATTTTAACTCGTATTATGCTCTTCACATTCATCTTCACGTTCATCTCGTGCATTACTGTCATCTATTAATTTGTGATTTCCCTCAGCACTTACCGTAATCCTAATTCCTTTGCCTGCGTTAATATATCCAACAGATATTCAGACATCTTGGCAATTAAATGTATATAAATCACAATTATATTGAAAATTAGTTTGTTATAAATTCATCCGAGAAAATTTTGGGTGTTGAAGGAGCCAAATAACTGCCTGTATGGCCAGGTACCAAAACCTAGTGTTAGTAACTACTTTTTGTGGCCATTGACTAATTTAGAAGTGATTTAGATATTGATTGTAATTAAAATCAAATACAGTCAACCCTCACTTTACGCGGTCCCACATTCCGCGTTTCCACGTTTACGCGGTGCCCTGCCAGAACCCAGGATGCTCACATTCCGCGGTGGGTGTACCCCTTTACACGGTGAAGTATAATTTTTTTTAATTTAGCTCATAAAATTCATACAAATTATCCGGCCAGAATATAATTTACATTGCTGGAATTCTTACAATTTGATGATCATTTTGAATATAAACATCATAGATTTTGCATTAGACATACAAATTTTAGATATAATGTTTACTCTTGAGTAAATATGTTATCTTTTGTGCAAAATATATGATATTTATATTCAAAATATTCCTGGTCTTACAAGGAATCCAGCAATGTCAATTATATTATCCTAACTTTAGTCTGATTTATTATTTATTACTAAAAAGGTAAACAGTCTGGTATTCCCACACATTTATCTAGTAGGGACGTTGGTGGGGGGTGGGGGGGAGGGAGGGAGGGACCGGCGACCGACCATCTGTTACTGTGTGAAGAATATTTTTTTTTTTATTAACTGAAGATTTTTATTTTAGCTCATAAAATTCATACAAATTACCCGGCCAGAATATAATTTACATTGCTGGAATTCTTACAATTTGGTGATCATTTTGAATATAAACATCATATATTTTGCATTAGACATAAAATTTTTAGATAAAATGTTTAATCTGAGTAAGTATGTTATCTTTTGTGAAAAATATATGACATTTATATTCAAAATATTCCTGGTCTTACAAGGAATCCAGCAATGTCAATTATATTATCCTAACTTTAGTTTGAGGTATTATTTATTACTATACCTGGTTTTCCCCCAAAATTTCTCAGAGAGGGAAGAGCCGGCAGTGTAGTGTGAGAAGGGGGAGGGAGTCGTGTCCATTATTTGAATGGACATTAACTTGGCGACTGTATTTCTCTATTTCTCTTAAGTATTAATTGTGTGCATGTACCATCATAAAATTAAGATGTTATTTTTACTACAACATAGTTATGTGTCGTCAAAAAGTGGAGTTTGGGGATCGGCCTGGACTCCATTTCAATTAATCCCATATGTTATGTTATTCACTTTACGCGTTTCTCGCTTTCCGCGGTACCCTCCGGGTTACATTAACCGCGTAAAGTGAGGGTTAACTGTATAAGTTTATTTCCTATAAAATTACTAAAAACCTAATAAAGCTTAAGTGAGTCAAATTATGGCTGAAACAAAAGTTATTAGGAGATTTATCATGAAATTTTGCCAATAGGAAGTCAAAATAATGATGGCAGGAATGTTGAAGATATTTCTACCTATTTATATTGAAGAACGAATGATGATAATCCAGTTTATCAGGTTCGTAAGGACCATGTGTAATCAGTGTGGTGATTTTAATCACATGAGAGTTGAACTCGCCCATTTTTTCACTCGTATGTCCACTATACCCACCCCCATCTAAAGTATCAAGTGCCCTAAGCTGTTCGGTAATGACATAGCTGATATTTAGAGCTAAATTTAGGAGTCAATGACCAGATGTAGAAACAATATTTACAGATAAGATGTGAGTATGTCTTTTCAGGCTGGAGACTTTTAAGAGGGAGATTGGCACCAGAAACCAGATGCTCTTGATATCATAAGCAAAATGGATGGATCCCATTAGAATATCTTCAGATTTGATATATATTACTGTATATAAAACACCAAAAATACAGTACTGTATTTTATGGCATATAAGATGCAACCCCCATTTTAGCAGGGAGTATTTTGGAAAAACTTTTGTGTGTATTTTCCTCCTGTAGCCATAGTTTTCTTAAAATAATATATATATAGTACTAGGAAATGTGAGGAATAAATAAATATAATACCAATAAATAAGTTATAACAAAAAATACTGTATTGTCAAACCAGTAAATAAAAACCAAATGAAAGTTTAATACAGTTGCCATTTGCATACACTCCCTGCTTCTTCATAGCAACAGATACCATCTGGGACACCGACTTCCTTGTAACGCTCCCCATACCCTACACTCTGAGCCCTCCTCCCACTCCCTCACTGATCCAGCTAACTTTTGTGCAAAGAAATGTATATTCCCCTTTTGTGTTTGCCCTTAGTTAATTATTTCTTTTTTAGTTTTTTCACAATATGTATGTAGGATGGTGTGTGTCTGTAACTGAGTAAAAAAAAATGAAGAAATTACGTCTATCTACCTGAAAATACGAGTTGAAAACCAACCATAACACCTCGCACCTAGGCCCAGTAGCCTGGTGGTTACAGTGACAAGTCTAATAATGCCATGATTAATCACTATTAAGCACTAATATATCTGTAAACACTAATAATAACAGTAAATCCAATGAAATATGGCAGGGAGCGAGGCGAGTTGCAACAGCAGATAGCAAGCTAACTAGCGGTCACTCATTCCCCTTAATTGCTCCCGTTGCCAGGTGTATGATCGAAGTGTGTATGAGAGAAATACATATCTTGTAGTCTAATTTGGAAACGGTGATGGGCACAGTGATTAACGAATTATATAAACCATACATTTACCTACGATAACATAATAAAAAACATTGTATCATTATTAGAGTGAATGAAATAATATTCCCACAAACATCAATTGATAACTCTCGGGCACCTGTGTCCCACACGCTGACATCTTAGTTACACGGGCCTAAGATGATCTTTGCCTTGTTTTGGGAATGCTTCTTATGGAGTCTTCTTAGCCCCTGGATCCCCCAAATTTTGTCTGAATCTTCTGAAATCCGGATTTACTGGGTCCGAATCTTTGAGGTTCACTGTACTGTATTGGAATTCACTTTTTTCTGACTCTGAGGTGCACTGGGTTGCTCTTCTATTCACCAGAAATATTTTTTTTTAAAGTGGAAAATACAATATCGGTCTGAACGGTTTGTGTGTTCGTACATGCGGTTGAACATCTGTGCGTGGATGTCTCACTGTCTCAGATTCTAAGTCTCAGTCTGTGTCCTGCCTTCATATGTATAGTATCAGTGTGCTGCACTTCGCTACCTACACTCATTTACATGACCTTTTTTTTTTGTAGAGTACATAATATCTTTAATGAAGATACAGTATGAGAGGGTTTTAAGAAATGGGTTAAGTTTATGTAAGTGCTGTACAGTACATATTTTAAGTGGTGGTGTAAGCAAATCAGCTTGCAACAGGGTCTTTAGTATTTGATATGAAGGTATCTTCATAACAACATTATTTATTACCTTTGAGTGATACATGATGGCTCAATTTGGCTACTTGTACACCTAGACAACTGATTAATGAATAAACCAGGGTACCGTATATGCAGATGCATAACACTGTACTGTACACTACAATATTACTTATTGAGTGCTGATAAATACACTTCAACATAATTTACTTTGTGATGATAAATACACTACAGTATTGTACTAATTTACTAAGTGCTGAAGACAGATGTTGTGGTAAGCATGAGTGGTGAAAGAGCTAAGCCATTGTTTCCCCTTTGTAAACAAACGACTCATGGTGTTAGTGTGGGATTCTTTTTTCAGGAAAGTTGAACCTGTGCCCCCATCTGCTGCTCCCAGATAACCCTCATCATCCACACACAATATACCCCTACAATTATTTTTTCTAATTTTTATCTCTACGGTACTGTACAGTATACAGTTTTCTCATTATTTGTAAGACAAATTCTGTAGTCACATACTACATATAACACTTTACAATACGTAAGAATCATCTCGGTGAAAACAGTTGGCGGCAACCAAACTTGTGTCTAATTTTCAACCCAGAGAGTTCTGTTTCATATTTTTTATTATTGTCAATGTAATAGTGTTTTAATAACCTTGTTATGCACTTAAGACCTTAGTGGTTGGAGCGCAGTGATAACATTATAACAACAACTGAATGTCTTTAAAAAGTAAAAGTCCAGATAAGCAGTGTTATTTCCAAACCACAACAACCCCCCCACTCCTCGTTGCTTTTTCCAGACTTTCACAATTTTCGGACTAGGGTCTGCCCCAATTACCCAATTAGTCCAATTTATCGAGGTTCTACTATATTGTCTTAGGTTTACATGCTTCAAAGTCATAGATGAGGACCCTTGTTTTATGATTATTATAATGTACCATCCATTTCTTTATTTATTGTTTTTTTTTCAGGGTGTTAAGAACATAAGAATGTAGGAAACTGCAGTGGGCCTATTGGTCCATACTGGGCAGTCCCGTTTACACCCAACCCCTATTGCTCATATATCCACCCAACCTATGTTTGAAGCTATCCAGTGTATTTGAATTAATGATGATGTTTGGTAATTTGTTCCACTCATCCACTACTCTATTTCCAAACCAATGTTTACCTACCTCGCACCTAAATCTAAATTTTTCTAATTTAAAACCATTGCTACGAGTTCGCTCCTGGTTGGATAGTTTGAGTACTTTTGTTATATCCCCTTTGTTTAGCCCTGACTTCCATTTATACACCTCGATCATATCACCCCTCACTCTACGCCTCTCGAGGGAGTGTAAATTAAGATGCTTTAACCTGTCTCTGTACTCAATGTTCCTAATGTCCGAGATTAGTCTTGTCATTCTCCTCTGAATTCTTTCAATGGATTCTCTATCCATTCTGTAGTACGGTGACCAGAACTGAACTGCCTAATCCAAGTGAGGTCTCACAAGTGCAAGATATAATTTTAGAATAACCTCGCTAGTCTTGTAACTAACACTCCTTAGGTATATTTACGATAACGTTGATATGAGGGGAAATGTTGAAAATGAAGGTGGAAGTCACATTTATTTTTAATATTTACCAACACAGGTCATACAGAAAGTAACCCATCCATTGGCCTCCCTTTTCTATAACCTCCTGGAGTCTTCTTGGGACAGAGGACACAAGAGTGGCCAAGTCACATTCTATCCAATAATTAATTTTTTTTTTTTTTTTATCAATTAGTGGTATTTTTTTTTTCAAGAACGGAAGTGGTGGGAGGTGGAAGTGATCAAGTAACAGGCTAGTTTAGTGTTACTGGTGGTGAGCAAGCCACATCCCTCCTCTCTTATGTTGTCATATCAGGGGCTTTCCTTCATATCAGGGGCTTTCCTTCACAAAAGCCAGACACTTTATCAACTCTAATGATACATTACCTGACAAAATCTCACTTGCATTCCTCCCCAGAATCTCAAGTAAAGACAAAGATAACTAAGGGAAAGTTAAATCCATATGACACTTCCCCAACACCCGCCCTCCTGGTTGGTTGGGTTGTTTAGGCTTTTAGGCCCATCAACTGCCAAGGTCATTAAGGTCATCATCATCAAGTTACATCCACCAACCTTAACACCTTCTTCAGTTGTTAAGGATATATATAAGACCACATACACACTCTCTATTTATGTGGCTTGCACCCTCCAACCTTAGCTGGATCTGCCACCCCTACATCTCCCCCCACCAATTCCTCCCCCACCCGCTTGTGACCCGTCGTGTAGAAACGTCTTGAGCTCATGGATATGGTAGTATGAGGGATGGATAATTCTTTTGACTGTGACTGTACCACTGCTGTTTTTGTGTTTTTTAGGCCTCCGTTAATCTTTGTATAAAATTTAGATTATATTTGTATCTTCAACAGAGAATGGGATCAGTTCGTCAGCGAAGATGCCAAGCATTATATGACTGTGATGCTGACTTGGATGACGAATTGAGTTTCACCGAGGGGGAAATAATTATTGTACTGAAAGCAGAGACAGAAGATGGGGACTGGATGGAGGGAATGATTGAAGGACATCCAGAACGTCGAGGCAAAATCCCAATAAATTTTGTCCACATGTTATCTGACTAACAGGAAGCTCAAGACTTAGTATAACAAAAAAGTAGCTGGCTCAATTTATAGACCAACTTGTGAGTAATATGATAATAAAACATCTTTTAATATCATTTACAGTGCATCCAGTTGCTGCTGCTGTAAACAGTGTTTTCTTTTACTAGTGTTCAATTGATACAATCATATGTTTATCAGCATGATAATCTTCATGTGTTTCATGGAGCTGATGTTGATATCACCAGTTAATTCATGACTATCCAGTTGAATCATCGTATGTTATTTTAGATACATTAAATTTTTGTATTATTGAAAGTCATATACAGTACAGTAAATGGAAAATCAAGATTACCACTTAATTTATTAAGTGATGAAGAGCAATTGGGTGGAATGTATATGATACTACAGATTGCCTCTTAAAGTGGAATGATTAGTCAAACTAAGTTCCTCATTAGGGTGGAGTTGATCAGGACTCATATGGAATTCAATTACATTATTAACCTGACCTGACTCAACCCATTCCACCTTCAGATATCCCAAGTTGTCAGTTTAGTCAGATGGTGGAAATACAAAACAACTATTTAAAAAGCAAACTTAAATAAAGGTATATTCATAGGTAGAGCTCATGGAGAAGTGTATCTCCCATGAAAAAGCTTAACACTGTATCTAAATAGGGTCAAATTAAAAAAAAAAAATAATAATAGCAATTAACAGAAAGGAGAAATATGCATCAAGCTATGCTTGGACTATGATTGAATTTCAAATGGGGCTTGTTTCCTCCCTCCTTATTCCTCGTGTGCATTTTCTAGTTCTCATTTGGATGTGTGTTCGTGTAGTTAATTTATAAGCTCATTATACTCTGCTATTCAAATCATTCTCTCATAAGTCCTAATTACTGCAAGTTGCTATGGTAAACTTGATGAAATTTCTTTGTGTATATTGTCAGACATGACTTCTTGTAAGGGTAAAAGGACATTCCAACTTATTTTCTTCTCTCTTTCAACTCCTTACTTACTATTATGTTGGGTGGCCAGAATCAAGAGGAAGAATAGACGCTTCTCTCATTTGCTGTCATTTATTCTCACTACAGTAATAGAGTGATCTACAATGGTATTCCCCTTCCATAACAAGGTTCCAAATATACCTTTTGCTTGACACAACCTATCACCGCCTATCAGCAACATATACATCCCCCAAAATTACTCAATGACACACACTCTGGTCACTGACACACATTATTCATCACCCCATGGATGTCCATCCCCCTCACATTCCAATTTATTATTAAACTGCATTTCCTGTTGTTTTGTCATTCCTGAACTTGAGTAAACAGGAAGCAATGTACAAATGTATCATAGTCTCATGTGATGATTTAGAAAAGTCTGTCGGTGTGATTGTGTTTGCTTGTGTGTTTGTATTGTATCTTAATATGTATGCTTATGAAGGTCTTGGAAACTGCTATTAGGTTTCATTGAATTTTCCTTTGTGACTATTAATTTGCAATGAAGACAAATTTTGTCTAGTTCCTTCTCTTTATGCCCATGTAGATAGAGTTTACTATCTTCATATACATAAGACAGGCTGTTAGATTCTGTTCTTGTACTATATCAAGATGATATTAATCAGTGTTCAAATAAAAGTTATTTTCAGTTACGATAAAAAACATTAATGTTAAAAAGTGATTGCAGAGTCAATAGATATGCAGATTATCACATCAGAAAAGCTGGAGACAGTAGAGCATAGCAAGTCCTAATGTGAGAGGTGATGATGGGACAACCTGAGGTTAAACAGCCATTGGAGCAACATTTAACAGCACATTCATGCTGTTGAATAATGAATAATTAACTGTACAGTGGAGTCTCATTTTACGTGGATCTCACGTGCGAGGTTATCGCCTTCGCGATCGGTTGAAATGTGACCATAGTTGTAGCTTATACAGAAAGCCAAGGGTAGCACGGGTAATGGTATAGAATTAATTTAGTGATCTTTTGCTTATTTAGATTAATTCAACAAAAAATGGGCTCTGGGTCACTCAAATTACTGAAAAATCTGGTGCTTGAAAGATGGTGAATGCTGGCAACATTGTTTGGGAGAGCAGGAACAATCAGCTGATACCGCTGTGTACTGTAAACAAGAGACTGTAATAACTTATCTGGGATTGGGTATTGAATTTTTTTTGGGGGATTAATTATTTTTTGATAATGTTTTATTAACCTCGCACCAAATGAAACTAAATACATGTAATATGGGAATTATGGTGAAATTGCATGCAGTCGTTGTAGAGGGATCACGGGATGACGAGTGCAGGTGGTGAGTTGTTCCCTCCTCCCTCTTCCACCACCCCCCACCAACAACGCACCCAAACGTAGTTTTGTATCTTAATATAATTCATAAAAGTCATTAATCTTAATCTTTTTCGTAATACTGTATATTCCTATATGAAATAATAATCAACATTTCAAAGCCGTATTAAAAAAACAAACAAACAAACATAAGAATTAAGCCAAAATCTGAATTAACAAGGTCACAGTGTACTGTATATTACTTTTGTCTTTATTCAAGATGTCTTCAGGTCATGAAACTCCCTAATTCTACACCCGGACAATGGGTGACCTGACAATGCATCAAGTCAGTAATATGAGACCACTAATCCCTCACTCCATCTTCACCACAAATGAGAGAAGAGTTTATATACAATGGGTGACCTGATATCGTATGAGGTCAGTAGCATGAGAGAATGAGAAATTTACTTTTTTCCCACGGACAATGTTTCTTTCTTATCTCGGTTTTCTATTTATTCTATAATTGCTCTATTTCTTTCTCTATTTTTCTTTTAATTTCTGAACATAATTTCTCATACCTTATCTCATATTCTTGTTCTTATATACTTAAACAATTACTGTATAGAGGGTATAGATAGTAGGTGGAAGGTGGAGTAGAGTGGTAGAGGCAGGGTGTGGTGACGGGATGGAGGGTTGATATCCCCCTCCCCCACAAGGGTCTCTTGTCCTTTCCTCCTTGTGACCGAGTGTATGCGCCTGGCTATTGACTCATTCACCAGTGTTTTTATGTATTCATTATTATATTCTCGTATGATTAGCCTATTATGCTGTGTGTTTCATCATAAATAATATGACAAGCTAAATCAGTGTTGGTGGTGTGGTGGTACCAGAGCAGATCAAGGGACCCTACAGGCAACATTACTGGGATTAATGGCACCGCCAAGCTCTCATCACTGCCTATTTTATGCCTCAACAATTCAAGAGGAATCCAGTGACGATGACCCTGCCACTCTGGAGATTGGTGATGAAGGTGAAGTCACTTTACAAGTGTCTGCACTTGATTTTGAAGGCTTTGAATCTGACTAACTTTCACCCCCTGTTTCGGACCCCCATCATCTCCCAGAGCTTTGCACACCTCCACTATTCGGTGGAAACAGTGGTTATCGCATAATTAACTTTGGGGATTTCTTAAAATATTTATTTAATAATGTAGATGCAGTTTATATGACATTGTGTATCCTTTTTGAAAGATTAAGTGGGTTACCCAAAGTTGTACAATATAGCCATTTTAACACATGTTAAAGGCATTGCATGCGCGGATTTCCGATGCGCGGACGTGTACCAGTACGATATACCCTGGCAAAATGAGACACCACTGTACTCTATATCTGATTCTATGAATATTTGCAGTTAAGGAACCTTTCAAAGTTAATACAACATGGTGATAACATCAGTGGCATAGGATGTGATTGATTTGGTAGGGAAATAACTGAATACTATACGTACTTGATATTAATTATGATTCTGCTTTAAAGACTAATATTCCCATTTTATTCTATTACCCAAAATACAGACTATGGACACAATGGCAAATTTAGCAACTTACATTGCTGATCTTGATGCATTGTTTCCAAATGAGTTTGTGTACCTGCGCTTTCTGTTTTTTTATGTGTGTATTGTGGAAGAATATTTTTGTTTGTGTTAGGATATATGCATTTGTGTGTGTGTGTGTGTGTGGTGTTGGTGTTTTTGAACAAATCATAAGAATAGTTAAGGTACAATATTGTACTATAATTCCTAGGATGAGTTCAAGCCCTTGTCAAGGTAATTTATTTGGGGCAAAATACTTTACCTTACATATTTACTTTAGTGAAAATGGATAATAGTTTGTCCAGGAAGCCAAATCAGAGGCTGCAAATTACATTGGTCAATATATATGAATGTTATTCTTTGAGTGCAAATGTACATTGGTGATGCAAATGAATGTATGGAGTCTGTGCAGTATTATGGTATCCAAGTATTTAAATATAAAAAAATATGGGCATGCCTGTTTAAAAAGTTAATACCTGTATACAATATCTGGGTATGAATCAATGGACTTAAGAGATGTCTGTATTTAGTTATATAGACATGTTAATGTGGTTGTATTAGGAATCAGAGGTATAAATCAGAGTGTGCCTTAGGTAGGTGCGAGTCTAGGGAGGGGGGACTTGAGTGTGTGTGTGTGCACGTATAATATGAGACAAATTAGCATACCCTGTTATATTCTATCATAGGGTGGCAGCCTCTCCAAGTGACAATTTGTTGGCTACATGTGACAAAACATAGTAATCCAACTTGAATGTGCTGCAGCAGTTAATGACTTCTTAGCTCTGCCACACTCTAGGATTTTTACCCGTCTCCTTGAGTTGAGAATGCAGAGCTCAATCCTGACGCCAAATTAGATACTGTATTAGTGATGTTGTAATTTGTTGTTCATTAGAGGAGATTTTCTATCTATATATCTATACCCTTTTAAGATTTTTCTGGTACTGTATACAGCAGGATGGCTCTGCAATTATATGTCAGAGAGGCAAAAATAAATGTCTCAACCTGGCCCTCCATGGTGGAACCAGATGTTACCCCACCAGGAGAATGTTACACAATTTTTTATTTGAGAAAATTATCATTGAAGGTGAATGGCATTCATCCTTGATAATAGATCCAGTGTATAATAAGGAGTGTGTAACAACTTATCTATTGAGCAGGAAGTGAAATAAACAAATTTCATGTTTTATTAATCTTCTTGTCATTAAATGTTCGATGGGCAAAAATTTTAACATTTAAAAGTTATTTAATGGAAATTAATAAATCACATTGATTAACAGTCTTATGAGATCCATTTGACCTCATATGCAAATTATATGATTTTACATATAATCAATTGTTATTTTTTACCATAGCATTAGTACAGTGTGAATATAGGTGACAGTAATGAAACCAACACATTTCTCGTGATCAGATATCTTTATTTTAACAATTTATTTATAACTGATACCAGTGTTCCAGTATCATTAGTGTATTAAAGGTTATTAAAAAGAAATGACTTTAAGGACCATTTAGTGAACTTAAGAAAATGATGTATAGAATTACTGTACTAAAGTTCTATTTGATGAAGACAAATAATTATCTTGTAATGTATTCTCTTACTATATTCCAGTAGAGGTAAGGAACAGTGTTAGTGCCCAGTTTTAATTAAGTCATCCTGCCTCTTAAAGGATTGCCAGGTTTTATGTACCATCCTTGTATTATAAGTATTACCATTAATTGTACATATAAAGTCTCAGAGGGAATTTAGAAGGCTTTGAATAATGACAAAGTTTCAGTGCTCTTTTGTTATTTTTCCATCCAAGAACTTGATATGTAAACTGAGTGGATGTTC